AGTTGCCCTTATTGAGGATTATAACTGATTTGTAAAACATGATTAAATGGTTGATTACAGGGATACTTCGCTAATTTTTAACCAGCTTTTTATCCTGACTATGTGGGTGGTATATTATCATATACCATATATACCATACCATATTACCAGCACCAAGATCTCACCGCTCTTCTCCTAGCTCTAGGGTTGTTCAAACTACAGATTGTACCTCTGCATTTTCATAGGCCTGACACCACGGCTCTCTCAAACTCAGATCAAACAGTAAAACTCAGCAGTGTTGATCGAATATAAACCAACATTCTGATACTCTATTGCCTATTTCTCACTTAAAATGTCTTCAGAAACGTATTTCAGTGCACTGTTTGGCTGTAATACATCAATTTGTGAACAGGAAGTGGGCACCATACTGTTTCCTGTATTGTAAAAATGGAGGCTAATAACATTAGCATCTTATATTTGTTTGCAAAACGTGTTTAGTATAAGACAGTTGTTTTGTTGGTGAACCCTGTGAATTGTAACAGAGCAAAATTATGTACTGTTACCTTTGTTAAATGTTGCTGTTGTTCCTGGCTTCATATGAGTAGAGAGAAGTCTGCTAGCCGCTATGCTAATTTAAACAATGTAAAATGCCATAGGCTTGTGCTAATTACATTAGCATGTTGTATTTGTGGGGAAAATGTGTCCAGATAAAGACAAGTGTTTGTTGTCTGTGAATGCTGCGAGTTATAGTGAAGCTGATTTGTGAACTTGTGTTTGAAATTGTCTCTATTAAGCCATGTTTAATGTGTGTTTTGGGTGTGTTTTGAATCAACTAAACTTTACAGCACTTCACAGAAACCTCCTCCGCCGACTAGTGTTTTGGAGGTGTAACTGCAGAGTGACACAGACACACCACGTATAAATGCTCACAACGGCGTAGGCCACGTGTGTAGGCTACGTGTGTAGGCGTCTGCCGCACAAATATAAATTATGTTAAAATATGAACCAAGATTCTGTTACTGTGTTGCCTGTTTCTTACCTCAAACATTTTCAAAAATATATTTTAACTTACTGTTTAACTGTAATTCAAGATTGTTTGTCACCAGCCAGCCACCATATTGTTTCCTGTGTCACACTGAACATACCCACATTATGTCACCCACTAGCCATAGCATTTATTGGTCTGGTGCAACCATAGACTGGGTGCAGCATAGTGCTTTCTGGTGGTTAAAGGTTATCTACCACTTCAGCAAAAGTAAATGCCACGGCCCTGTTTTCTCTGGTTATGTAGCACCAAGTTTAAAAGTAATTAAAAGTTTCATAATAACTTAGTACTTCTTTAAGATGGTGCCTTGTTAGACAGTTGTACCAGTTTCTACTTCAAACTATTTCCAAGGCAAAGAATTGACTTATATGTTCATTTCAGTTACTTCATTCATTTAAAATTCAGTTTTTGTTAACTCTGAGCAGCTGTAGCTGTAACGCACATTCCCTGGAGGCCCATTGTTTACGGAAGAAATGGGGTTTCAAGGAAAACCTCAGTGGCTTGTATGTTCCTGTCATGATGTCTCAACAAGCTATCATGAATTAAAGCCTGAATGTCATGATTAGCTCTGAAAGCAACAAAATAATTTTTACAAATGACATATTGCATCTGTCTTCATCCCTCTCCTGCCCCTCTCATTTTGGGTTAACAACCGGTATGACATCATGTGAAAACATTGACGAATGGCCCTTGGGACCCCTGGTGCAGCTTTGAGTGTGCACACTGTTTATTTCAACAGAAAAGGAACTCAGCCATGCACATTTTAAAAAATGTGAGAAAACTGCAGATGGAAGAGATGGGAGTATAAAACAAAGCACCGAAGAAGCTGTGAAGAAAAGAAGTGATATAAATATTGATCCAGTAGCACTGAACACACTGATGCTCTTGGCTCTGATATAAAGACACTCATGAGTGCTCCCTGTGATAAGCTGTGTGGAGATCTCTCTGTGATGGACTCCTCCAGGCAGCATTTTCCACTACCTTCCACTCCCTTCTGATAAGCAGGGACGGGGACAATAGGATAAAGCGGCTGACGGGACAAAAACAAACAAGGAGCCAATGTTTCTTACAGATCCAGTGGTCAAAATGCTCCCTGTTATATTGCTGAGCATGAGTGGAAATCATTGTGCAAAACTTCCCAATGACAGAATGATAAATTAAATGCCATATTATGACAACAACCGCGGGGTGGAGTGGCAACATGTCACACTCATCACAGACTGGCAAACATGAGAAAACTGGCATCTCAGCGCTACAGAGATGCAAAACATGCCTCGATGCTAATCCTCTGGTCTGATTTGGACTGGAACCAGAACAAGACTATTTAATTCCAGCACACCTCCCAAGAGACTCTGGACTGGATCATATGCAGCATCACCTGCCCCATAAACCAGCGACTGAAAACTGGCTGCTCCCACAGGAAGACACTTGGCTTGTAAACATTATGGGTGTGCTTCTACTTCACATTTACAACTGCAAAAGTCCAAAACGTCCAGCTTGGTCTCATAGGCCCCATTAATGAGCAGACTCATATGACAAATATGCAACATATGCACTGAAATCTGTATTCCCAAATATACTTTCAGCTACAAGTCTTACAGTAACATCCAGCATTAATGATTAACACATAGCTAAAGATCCATTCAATATTAAACGATGTGAACGAGATCACCCTGATGATCTCATATTTTACACCCCTAAAAAAACGATACATACATGTACACAGTTTATGGTCATGCATAAACGCACACTTGGATGAACAAAAAAGCCACGCAAGCAATATTTCTTTATGCCAAGGCATTGCTCAACACAAGTGGGGTCTATTAAATCTAGCATGTGTCTCCAATCAGCCCAGCTTCCTTTAACTGAGAACATGGTTAAATGAAAATCCAACTTCCTTTCACTCACACACTAAAACACAATCCAATATCGCAGCCTCTCCAAAAAATGGATGACACAAATGGACTCCGATCCAAGCAGTGATATAAAAGGCTGGGGACTATTACAGCTATCTGACTCATCTCAAGATCTGTGGGTGATAAATCAGACTTAGCCTGAAATAAACCTGGAAAAAAAGGTTTAAAGGTATGCTATGCAGGAATTGTGTGCTACTGTAAACAGTATGGCCGTGTTTCGATTTGGTGTTTTTTAATCTTTTCAGTACTGTGTCCTCCATTTCTGTAACTTCCTCTTGGATGCATGCTGCTTGGTGTCTGGCACCTGTTGGCTTGTTTTTAAAAAGTCCGACCCCACCTGTACGCTGTGCCGAGGAAGACAACAAAGTAAGAAGAAAATACAGGCAGAGGACATAAACAGTGAGTCACGAGTGATGACTGAGAGGGATTATTCAGTAGGTTAGCCTGCATTGTATTTCTTTAAGGGTCTAGCTTGAAGGATTTAGTGGCATCTAGAGGTGAGGTTGCAGATTGCAACCAACTGAAACCTCTCCCATGTGCCAAGGGTGTAGGAGAACTACAGTGGCCGACGCGAAAACTCAAATGGTCCTATCTAGAGCCGATGTTCAGTTTGTTCATTTTGGACTACTGTAGAAACAACATGACAGACTCCTGGATGGGGACCTGTATGTTATGTAGGCTCATACTAAGGGAATAGGAACACACCGGTTCTTATTTTCAGGTGATTATAAACTAAAGAACACATAGTTGTGAATATCATATTCCATTTGTGCCAGTATATCTCCCTTAATCCAAACACTGGACCCTTAAAGCGAGACTATGTAACTGGATATCAGTGAAGATATTCAGTCATCCAGGTCATGGTAATCATAAGTGCTGTATCGTAGGCAACTGGACTTGCTTGCATTTCTTGAAGACGTTTCACCTCTCATCCAAGAAGCTTCTTCAGTTCTGAACTGAATCATGTTGGGGATATGTTAAAACTTTATGTTCAACAATACTATGAGTAGTCTTTATAAACAGACTCTACATTCAGTGAATGTAGAGTCTGTAGGCAAACCCCGGAGATCTTGCCTCCGGAAGAAGAGTGGAAGAGCCCTGGTTTCCAGTTGTAGGCTGTTTGTAGTCCGCGTGATATTGACCAATCATGTTTGAGTCGGCTGCAGTTGTTGCCAGGTTAAACGGTCCGTGTGGTGAACTAATGAGGCGGAACATAATTGGCGTCACTGCAAACTCTGAATCCATCGCAATGGTTAAGCATATTTACTTAAATATAAACGGAAGTCAGAAACGGAAATTCGCCTCCTCCGCCCAAATCAAACCGGAATGCCAAAAAATCGGGGGTCTGCCCCCAGAGGCTGTATCGCCATCTGCCAGAAGTCAGACGCCGAATACAGCCGATGGGTTCCGAGAATGTACTATGAGTAACTTGGGTGTTGATTTCTGAACGGGCCTACAAAGAGATGCAAAGGAACCGCAAAGAGACGGAAATAACCACAATAAGGGGCAAAACACCCACAAAGAGACAAAATGACCAAAAAAGACACTAAATTACCTCAAAAAGAAGCAAAACGACTATGACGAGATGCAAATCCACAAAATAATGCACAGTGATTACAAACAGACACAAAACGATGACACAAAAAGAGATTAAACAATTGTAAAGTCTGCGTGTCTTGCTCTGATGTAGGAGAGGTTGGGAGGGGCATTGTCTTATAATCCAATCCTGGTTGTGGTTCATGTTTTGGCTTAAAATACCCAGTTCTGGGGCACAATCTCAACTAAAAAAAAAAGAAAAAGCAATGTCTCTGTTAAAAACATTCGCTTTTTGTGACACTATCACTGCTGGAAAAATAGCCACAAGTCACAAAAAAACAGGTTTGGTACCTAAAAAGCCGCTGAAAACACAACACAGGTTTGGTCAGCAGCTTGGCAAGTGTCTAAGAAGGTATTCGAGGAATGTTAAGTGTTGCTTTAAATTGCTGCTTCACAGGGGCAAAGTAAGTATTCACACCTCAAGGCGATAAAATGTGTCAGTTTATGTGTGCACAGCAGCTCACCTGTCTTCCCAAGATTGCCGTTCGTCAGCACCTGGAGGTCTCTGGCCACATTAGAGACTCGGATCTGGAGGCTCTGACAAGTTCCCTTCAGTTCTCCAATATCTCTGGAATGAGCTCCAACAGTGCCGTTCAGCTGGTTGACAAAAGTCCACAACCCAGTGACGTGTTTATTCAGACCGTCTTGGATCCTCTGGAGGCTATCGGAGACAGGATCCAGCTTGCTGCATAAACTCTCCACACTAACGACGCGGCTGTCCATGTGTGCAATCTCCTTCCCGACATCTTCTGTTTGTTCCCTGCAGCGGTCGACCTCAGCTTTTACCTCCCTGCCCAGTTCATCCAGACGGTTCCTCAGCTCTTGATGCTGAGTCCTGTGGAGCCCCTGAGGGTCCTTGGCCTCCTGCTCAGCCCCTGTTTTAACGTGACCCCAGGTGTCATTGAGAATCGGATACACCTGAGACTGCTGGTGGACTACATCTGATAGTGAGTCCTCCAACCTGCCCACACGCCCTTTCAGGAAGCTCAACTCACCATGTACATTCTCAATAGTGGAGCTGTAGTTGAAGAGCTGCTCCTTTATGTTTCCTAAGTCATTTATCTGGGCGTTTACACGAGTCTCTACATCATCTACTGCAGCTCTGCAGCACTGGTCTTTTTGAATGTTTTCTGCAGCACCACTACCAGATGAGGAGTTTGTGCTTGTATCTACCAACAGGTTGGAAAGTCTGTTTTCAATGGAGGCCAGCTTGTCCTCCAGAGTCTCCCTCAGGTCTTTGATGGACTCTGCCTGTTCTTTCTTTAGCTTCTCCTCCACAAAGAGGCACTGGGCTGCTACACTGTTCCCAGATGAGTTCAGACAGGTTTCAAAGTTCTCCACAAGGCGGGTGTGTTCCTTTCCTTGATCAACCAGCTTGGTCTTCAGGTCCTGGATTTCATCGCGGAGGTCAGTTTCCTTTGAGTCCATAAGCTCGGCCAGGCTGAGGTAGTTGTCTTGTTGTCCCTCACACTGCTCCAGAACTGACGTGATTTTATAATCGCACGAGTTCTTCATGTCTGCTATTTTGATGTCCATGCCCTGCATTAACTCCTCTCTCAGAGCGCGGATCTTCTCGTCCAGGTAGGCACGCAGGTCTGTATGACTGGCTTTGGGGGCGGGAGGGGGTGTGGACAGCTGGTTCTGGACAGCCTCCATTAACAGATTAATTTGTCCATCATGATGGCTGACACGGCCGAGCAGGTCCTCCAGGGTGTTGCTCTTGGACTCCAGCTCGTCTGTGACCTGGTTGATCTTGTTCATGACATCGTCCATCTGCGCTGTCTCATGCCCAAAAGAGAAGTCCTGCACCTGAATGGTGTGGGCCTCCGCGCCTCTCGCACTGGCGGGCTGTGCGTAGTTATTCAGCAGCGTGACCAGCATTTTACTGGCGTCCTCTTGGAAATCCAGCCTCAGATTGGAGGACATGTCCGTCATTCTTGCCTGCATGTCGAAGACCATCTGGGATAGCCGCTGCACCTCCTCCTCCAGGTGTTGTGAACTTTGAGATCCTCCATGACCCCCCAGTGGCCTGTGGCCTGTCTGACCTCCAAACTGCCCCTCCCCTCCCCAGGGATGGCTCCTCTGGTTCTCTGTTCGCTGCTCTGGAGCTACAGCGAGAAATAACAGAGGGAGAGTTGGGAATATGAATGCTGTTTTTCTGACATTTTTCAAGGTGTTTGTTTGATTTTATTTCACATATTTTCATGCTTGATTTCCTTATTATAATCATGTCTTTCACCTTGTGGGACTGGAATATGTCCAGAGGTGGAGGGAGCATGAGGCATATGCTCTACTTGCAGCAGCTTTAGGTCTTTCACCTCCAGACAGTCGTGGCCCTGATACCCCGGGCAGCACCTCCACTCCAGCTCTGTGACAGTCTTGTATGCAATCTTATACATGGGCCTAAAGTGTGTCCGATATCTGGAAGCATTTCATACACAATGACATGAACTCATATTAAAAAACCACAGATGCTGTACAATGGTATGTATTATAGTATAAGTAATTATACTGCTTACTGGAAGCAGAGTATAAGGCTTTGCGCAACTCTCCCTCTCAGGAATACAATGTAAACGTCACAAGACAATAAAATGTGTTTGTTGAAGATGAAAACGAGATAAACACTGGTCACATTTGCATTTAATTAATCACACAGTTGGCAGGGAGCCGCTAAGACTTTCCACCACTTCCACTCATGAGGATACTGCTGACCCACATGGCCCTGCCAGCTGATGATTGACTGCATCTCACAAGTGTGTTTGTTGCTCAATGAACACTGAAGCAAAACAAACCCAGAGGAATGTCTGTATTTGCCATTCATGAAGATTCAACACAGATGCCTGGATGATGTCTTTGCTTTTTAAGTTGGGTTTTTAAAGGAACATTTAATCCCAACATCAAAAATACATATATTTTAACTCAACTGTGGTGGTGTTAGTCAATCTAAATTGTTTTTGTGGGAGTTGCAGAGTGTTGGATATCTGCCGTAGAGATGTCTGCTTTCTCTCCAATTTAACAGAACTATATGTCACTCGGCTTGTCGTGCTCAAAGCATCAAAAGTTGAAAAACCGCAGCAATGTCTCTTTCCGGAAATCATGACCCAGTTACTCAAGATAATCCAGACTTATTGTGAGCTGTTTCCCGTAGTAACTCTTTTCTTTCCACCAAACTACACTCACCAACTGTATCACTGCGCAAAAGGAAGCCTGCATCTACTGCTAGCTCACCTAGCACTACTGAGCTAGCTTACGTTACAGGTTAGACAAGGACACTGTAACTCACACCTAAATAATCTAAACTGATAAACAGTACATCAGGTAAGAGGGAAAATATGTATTTTTGATTTTGAGGTGAACTGTCCCTTTAAAATTCTTCTAAGCATTAATATAAATTATATTAGAGAGACATTCATTTAAAGAAAGAAAAACCAAAGGCAAAGCAAATACATGCACTCTAATCCAGTAGTGCAATGTAACTAAGTACATTTAAATATTCATTCGTACCTCTGTCTGTAATGGCAGATAAAGCCAGGACTGGCATTGGATTATGACGATTTGCTGATTTGCATTTATGTAGAGGTATTTTAAGCATATGATGTTATTTATTCATTCATCTTTTTGTGTTTCTTGTTGCTACGTTGGGTATAATGTTGATTTGTCTCTATGCTATGTTGCATGTTGTGTTTCTATGGCTGCAGTATGGGTGTAGGGCCAAAGACAAATTCCCCATTCTGTGGGACAATAAATTTAATCTTGATCTTGATTTTCTCAAATACTGTCCTTAAATACATTTATCAGGTGCTTGAGATTTCCATTTTATGTTACTTTATACTTCTATTTTACGACAATACAGAGGTATATATTGTCATTTTTACTCAAAAACATTTGATGCCTTTACTTACTTTGCAGATTTAGAATATTAATACTGAATATAAATCAACTAGTGAATCATGGTGGTTTTTTTTGTTTGTTTTTTCATAGAAAGTTAATGAAAGTATGCAAGTAGCTGAAATTAGCTCAAACTTTAGCAGCTAATGCACCCATAATTATAACCCAGTAATATAATGTATGTATATTTGAAATGAGCCATTTTACATGATGACTACTTTTATTTGTTGTACCTAAAGTTTGACGCCAATACTTGTGTATTTTTTATTTATTTGGATCCCCATTAGTCATCACCAAGATAGCAACTACTCTTCCTGGGGTCCACACAACTAAACATTACTTCATAGAGTAAAACAAATATATAATTAAAGTCCATGGCAGAAAGAAACAAAATACAACAACAAAAAGAAGTAAAAAAAAAAAACAGGAAAACTACAAAACAAAAATTAAAAAACAAACAAATTAACAAACAAAACCAAAAGATTGATCACAAAATAGTCAGAAATTGTCAGAAAAAAAATAAATTAATAATAATAATATTCATTTATCTATTTAAAACACGTTTACTTAAGTAAGATTTCAGATGCAGGACTTTTTTTGTAATGGTATTTTTACACTGTGGTATTACTACATTTACTCAAGTCAAACATCTGAGTACTTCTTTTATTGCTGCTGTAATTATGAAATAATGATGCAGATTCACTAACACAAACATGACAATGTTTTAGGGGTTTTAATACTGACAGAAAAATCTATAATACAAAATAATTATAAGTAAAGTATGAAAACACGGCTGTAAGTAACATGTATTAGAACAGAGGGTGAATGTTTGGGGAACTTACTCTAAAAATAAAATTAAATGGACAACAGCTGCGTCCTAAACTCTCCACCTCAGATGCGCAACTAACCCAGCCCAGGTTAAACTCATTGACATCACAGCACTAGTTTTTTTTTTTAATGAATCTACACTGTATGATAATAGAAAAAAAAGTACTGCCTCATATTGTTAAAAATACCAACAAAAGCAAAGAATATCCGCCCACCACCCAGTGTCTGGACTTCTGGGAACTTACATCACTTGTTGCGCACAGTTTGGCAGCTCTGGTGGACACGGCAAAACCTCCGGCTGCACAAAACTCTCCGTGCCTCCAACGACGGCACAACTCACGTTCTTGTGCACAACGTAGGCGCACCAGTTTCTACAGGCCAATAAAAAAAATCACGGGTCAAACCATTCCTGCAGTAGAAATGCGTTTACATGCATGGACTACTTTTCCCATAAGCGACTTAATAACTTTACGCACAGAAGAGGACACAATAAGTTTAATCTATCAATAAGCATCAACTACTCACTTGTTCCTCTGTCGTGTGTCAGCGCCAGAATACGCTTCGCCCTGAAACATGCTGTACTGGAAAGGTGATCCACTGATGAGAGGAAGAGTTATTAGAAAGTGTACAAGTCCGCACTTCATGGTTAAAAAGTTTTTTAAAATCTTCCTGTTTGTAGTTTGTTGTAATCAGCTCTGTGGTCCAGTGATCTGTGAAGGCACCGCGGGTTGTTCCCTCTCTGTGGTGCGCTGCTCTCAGCAAGCTCCTTCCAGCTTCCTTGGATGTGACGTGTTGGGACCCCCTCCAATACTGACAGATGCCTTTTTCCTTCTCTCGGATCACACGCACACTCTCTCTCTCTCTCATACACACACACACACACACACACACACACACTAGAGCCCGCATCCAACTCTCTTTCCAAAAACAATGTCATACTGCTACATAATTTCCGGAGGCCTAAATTTGGATAATGATTGTCTTTGTTTCGAACAGGCACCATAATTACCCCGTGCGTAAAATGCGCGCGCCTGTCAGCCTCTGTTTGCCCAGATCTCTTAAGATTTTACGTGATTTTAAGGCGGTATGGTGGTACAGTGTTTAGCATTGTTGCCTCCCAACAAGACGGTTCCTGGTTTGAATCCAGGGTGGGGGTTTGTAGGGAGCCACAGAATTTATGTTCTCCCTATATCAGTGTGGGTTTTCTCTGGGTGCTCTGGTTTCCTCCCACAGTCCAAATTCATGCAGGTTAGATTAACTAGTGACTCTAAGGACGCATTCACACTAGTGCAAATTTGGTCCGCTTTAAACGAACCCTGGTCCACTTCCATGGATAGTTTGGTTCGTTTGGACAAGCGGTTATGGAAATGAATATTATTGTGTAGAAATAATGACACAGGCACAGAGGTATCTTAGTATATAACATATTTAGTAGATCTTTATACCATGCACCATGCATCATTTTGCCATCAGTTTTGCTGATTACAAAACTGTTAAAAGATACAAAATAAATCTGTACAAATACAAATCAATAACAGCTCAAATAACCCGTAAATAAAATAATAATAATAATAATAATAATAAAATTGTCAGATGTGTTTGAGCTCAAACTATCATGCTGGACTCATGAGGATCACTGCTTTGCTCTCTTTGGGGTGATGCCGGACGGCTCACCAACACCCACGAGACCCCGTTTCACTGGTCTTACTGGGGAGGACACTAGAAGAAGAAGAATACAAGCTGATTAGAAAAAAACACTATTACACTTGAAATGTATTTTCCACCCTTGCGACAACAAACATACCCAGTTGCCTTTCTATCTCCTCCAGCTGTTTCTTCTTCTCCTCCATCTCCTGTTGCTTTCTCATCATCTCAGGAGACTTCATTTGGCTGTAGTGATCATCACGATCCTTTGTTGCCTTATCCTTCTTCTCCAGAGCTGCCCGATGCTGGTTGAGCAGGTCTGTCAAACAAAATAAGAACAATTAAATCTGACTGAAGAGGATCACAAAATAGACCTTCAAAAGGTGAGTATAAGAGGCGTCACCTATATGTTCACGAACAGTGTAGTAATTTGGCGGGAGGGGGGCTCCAAACATGTCTGGTGTGTTCATCCGTGGGGCTCTGTTCTGTGTGCCTCCGAACTTTCCCTTGGAGCTGACCCTGTCCCCCTGCCTGGTCAGGATGGTGGGACAGTGCATCTTATTCTGCGCCACCTGCGATTAAGGGGATATTTAGAGGAAAAATATCCACTTCCCAGTAAATGCATGGCACGGCTCGAGCCAGCGAGCGTCACTCACCGCTTTTCTGTAGTTATTTGCAGAGCTGAGGTCATCAATCAGAATAGTGTCTGCGAGGATGATTTTAAAAGCTGCAAAGGAAGGAAACGGTAAGAGCTGTGAGAAAAATCTTAACATTTAGAACAGCTGAAACTAATGAAAATCATTCATAACCATAGAGATTAAATGAGAATGAAAGCTTATTCAAGATGGCTCCTGTCAATGTAAACAAGCTTTACAAGGCAGACATATCTAATTCTACTGCATTAAACAATAAATATAAGATCTGAATAAAATTACAACCTCCAAAACTACAAAAAAAATACTTCAATTAAAAGTAATTTTAACATGGCAAAACAGGCCAAATTTATGCTCCAGTGACAGGGCCCCCTGTATGGTCGAATCCCAGGTGGAACCATTTACCCAAAATTCAACAGGAGTGGTGGGGGCATGAAGGAAATACCCCAACAACAGCAAACACAAAGAGAGCTGGTAAGTCTCTAAAAAACCCCAAACTCTTAATATAAATCTGCAATGAAAAAACAACATGGAGCCGATGTTACACTGAGCGGGGGAAATCCATTTGAAGCAGCTCACCCGTGCGACAGCTCTCCTGGTCCTCAGGGTAAATCAGGAGGTCTCTGGCGAGGACCGGGTTCCCAGGGGGATGAAAGAGCATGCTGCCACCTCTAATGTGCGGCAGTGGTCTGTAAGCAATTCAGATGTTAGCAGAAGGACTGCAGAGATGGACTGTGAAGTGTTTTAAAGGACAATACCAGTGTTTTTTGTGTGACAGATTTAGCTCCTTAGCACAAAATTATGTACAGTATGATTTCTCTGGTTCCAGCTTCTCACTCGTGATGCTGCTCTTCTCTCTTGTGATCATTTGTTGAATATTTTTGGGTGTGGGAATCTTGGTGAGGAAAACCGAGACATATTGAGTCACCACATTGGTCTTTTGGAAAGTGTGACACTGTTAGGCAAAACGTAATGGATTAACCCTTTGAAACCTGAGCAAACTGGCTTGGTTTCTTTCAAAAACATGGGAGGAAGGCAATGAGCAATGGAAGAAGCAATGCCCCAAACTCTCATGCAACTTGTACAGTGTAATCCAAGTCTCATTTATCCAGTCGTATGCTCAGTACTTCCCAAACAGCACTTTCCGACAAGGGCTTGAACGGAAAGTGAAACTTACCTAGAGCCAGACTCCACTGACAAAAACGGCAATTTAACCTTGCTTAACAGGAGCTAATGATCTACCACCGCCAAATTCAACATCTCACGGGGTGAGTAAATGATATGCAAATAATCATTTGAGGGGTGAAGTATTCCTTTAAACTGCATTACCACTCAACTACTGTATCATAATTGACGGTAAGAACTGTGTTAACAGCAGGAAAAACACTTTGTAAAATCTCAAACTGCAGCGTGGTGTGCTCAATATTTAGCTGTGATGTAAAGTATGTCATTTGTCACACTGGTATGGCCCTTTAAGTAACTGTCATCAACACACAACCACAACCAAAGACCAGCAGGAAGGAAGCTCTCCTTCTTATATATGAGAATAATTAAAGTCACCATCATCCGTGCTTCAAACCAAAATGCAGAACATTAGGAAGTCTTAGAACATAAATTCTTATATTTACATTTAAAGAGTTGAGATCCTCATAGAGGAGGATGTACATCCTGCTTTTTACTGCCCTTGTTTCAAAGCATGCATTAATTTGCACGATAATTTCCTTTAAATTGAGATGTATCTAATCTGATGATTAAAAACAGGACTTTGTCATCCTGACTGTCCATTTTGTAATTTTACATGTACTATTCTGTACACACCATATTTATTGCATGTCTGTCCATCCTTGGAGAGGGATCGCTCCCCTCTAAGGACAGAGAGTGTTGCATGCTGCACAGACTGATATTGGGCCCCGTTGCTTTCTTGTTAGACAGTCTGTGAAAAAAGGAGGTGCCACAAGATCTTTAAATTATTGTTGTTGGAAGGCTGAAGGTAGGAGTAGGCTTAAAAATGAAAGACTATAATCAAAGACACAGCATTCTCATCAGGAAAGCATCTCAGGCACCAACAGCAACACTGAAATGAACATCAGTGTTTGGAGGTACAGTAAGCACCTTAAAAGTGCAAGAATACAACTGAACTTTTTAGTGTCATAAAATACTTTGAAAGAGGTTTATTCTAAAGGAATCTACCATTGACACAGATGGTGTACCTTTCGCCTGGTGGCACATAAACAGTGTCGAGGGGCATGACCTGCTGCCTGCCTACGGTGTCCTTAAAGATCCTCTCTGCTGCTGCGCTCGTTCTGGTGATGACGCAGTCCATGTCACCCCTGATATGCCAGGAGATAACCCTCGCAGCATCGTCGTCCTGCACGAAGGCCAGCTGGCCAACCTGCATTCAAAATGTAAAGGGTGAAACACAGACACAGCTCTGGAAAACAAACCTTGCGATTGCGAAGTGCAATCTATGAAAATACTTTCCTCAGTCTGGCAAAGCTACATTGGGTTCCTACAGTTAAGACAAGTTAGATTTAGGACTTTTTAAATACTTCTTAATGTCACTCTGAATTAAATTCAAGACCAATTTTACAAGTTGAAAGGACAGACACAGGAAGTGGCCACACTCAGCAGTTACAAACCAACCACAGCCAACAGATACCTTTCCCTTCTGTAAATATTCAGTCTGATAAATACGGAAAAGTAGATCATGTTAGTGCAGGGCTACCCAGAACTTTACATCTGTCCCATGGACAATACACACTTAAAAACAGCGCCTGAAAGACAATCAGCTCTGCACTCAGGATTTCAGGTAAATAGGCTATAAGATGCTTGTTAAGGTTGCTTAGCAACCTCAGACGCAACCTACTGCCGCGATCTTCAAAGTTGGCACAATAGTACCCAGCACCCGACCTAGCATTTCAAGGCGGTCAAAGACGCAGCACTTGTACGGCTCCTAATTTCCAGGGCTGGTACGTACGGTTATTCCACAGGCTAGTCAATAACATGTTGGGCAGGAAATCCAAAGTGTGGGATCATTTTGAGAAGGTGAAGGACGAACCCAAGGTGATATGTAAACTCATCTTCACTGGTCGACTACAAACATGACATATCATCTGAAACATGTCAGTAGCTACATGCCCATTAGCCACTTAGCACAATCATTACTGCTTTGCCGACAGCGTCATTAACAGGCAGCTTGCTCAGTGTGTGACGTGCCCTTGTAGATAAAATATAGGCCTATATTAATGAAGGTTCATTAGTACTGTTTTGTATTTCTCTGTAATGTAGCACAGTGTTAACAATGTTACTGATACTATTCTTTCTCATACCTTCAACTCAAACCATTGTGTTGCCCCGCCCAACATATTTAATTTAATAATTAAATTAATATCGTGAACATGCGGGCAACTAGTTGACTAATGGCCCTCAATGATGACTATCGGTCAACTGGGAAAATTCTTAGTCGGGGGCAGCCCTACTTAATACCAATTAATGTCATTATTAGATTAATGAGCTTAATGCGTTTCAAGATTTTTTTTAAGGATCTGCCAGTACCCTGCACACATTACCACAAACAGTGACTGGACATAGCTGCATGGAGGTCATCGTTTTCCTGAAATTACACAGTGGGTTTTTTGGGCATCTATCCAACAGAAAAATCCTTCTTTCCTATGACATCACCTTTCCCAAAACATCCTGCTGCCCCTTGAAGGGATCACTGATGGAGCAAACTCTTCTGGGCATTCTCAGAATCCTGTCGATTTCAGTTTTCTTCTCATTTAAAAGTTTGTCAATACCCGCGATCTACAAAGAAATAAAAAAATATGTGTTTGTCATCTTCCGATAAATATATATAGATAAGATCGGAATTTATACACACACAGAAGTAAAGTGTGTAAAGAATTAACATCTTATACTCACAGTTTGGGCAGTTGGCATATTCCTCCTGGACAGCTCTTGTCTAAGCTCAGCCTCTTTTCTATTTGCACCCAGCTGATGATCTGTGATGAAGGAAGAGAACATTTTAAACACATATAGGCGGACATGGAAAATACATCACAGACAAAAGTGGGGCTGGGTTCTTGGTACAAGTCAAAGTGCGTCTGTAGCCCTTTTTACACAACAATTGCACTACAGGGTCGCACAAAGTCCCTTCTTTATGCCACCTTTGCATTTTTACATAGAACCAAATAACGGCGACATCATGCCACCCCAGTGTGTGATTTTAGATAGATGCATGTGTTCCAGAAGCAAATGAGGCGGGACCGGTGTGACGCAACAGCGTTGGCCTCTAGTTAGACTTACAACATATGCGCCGGCAGTGCTTTCTAAACAATAACAATAGCATAACATGGCAGTAACAATCATTTACTGAACCAGTTGTCTGGCTGCTGATCTCTCCCTCTGTTCTGAGGGTAAGGAGCTTCCGTACCTCACAGTCTACTCAATTTGCAGACTTTTTCAACTGCTGGTCTTCTTGAGTTAGCTGCTAACTGCTTTTAACATCTGTCAGCGTTGGGTCGGACACATCACACATGGTCAAAACGTCACACTTGTCCCATCCTGCTGACTGTTTAGCACCATTACTACCTCTGCTGCCGGCTTAAAGGATAGACAACTATGTGCACTCATTCTGTGACCGTACCTTTTATTAAGTATGATGAGGCGAACTAATGGCGTGACATTCCTGCCTTGAATAGACAGTGCAAAAGGGGCTTGTAATAGCAGGTATCAAATGTCTGGTTTGATTCAGTCTTGTTTACTTATTCTTGGATCGGATAGTTCCTTATACAAATTACACTTTCTGATTTTAATTGGACAATTGCTTGTGTTTAAAGAACAATTAGACAATAAGCATTTAAGAACTTTGGCTTCTCTGTAAATGGTGAGCACATTCTTTAATGTAACGAGTTTAAAAAAAAAATACTGTGTTGTTGTGTTAAACTCACTTATTGATTGGCTCTGATACGACATAAATTTCAAACTATACCTTGCTCCACACATTTTGTCTGGTGCCACTCAGCATTTTAGCTCATTTGAGAAAGAAAGTGGAGATAAAATCTTACTTGTCAGCATTTGAAGGAGTTCACCATATGTAGAAAAGGTTTCTTTATACATAGCAACAGTAGTACTGAGCTCTTCTTTCTTCCTGGACAGCTCAGACACTTTACGTTGGTTCTCTACATCTAAAACAAAAAACACACAAATGGAAAAACTTTGAGTTAATGTTTCGTTTAAGAAAATTAGAAATGAAACCATTGTAGATAGTTCTGATTTTATTTGCCTAGTGTTTTTCTTTCAGATATCTGTCTTTGATGAGTAACCAAATTTTGTTTTTTTGTTTTAGGGAAACAGATCATGGTTTAGGTTAAAATAAAAAGATTTCTTTCAAAAAAGGATTTCTGGGAGAAAGTTGTGAAGGTTTACCTCTCCCACGTGCTACCAACATGGGCACTGCGTAGTGCAAATGGCAAAAAACTAAGACTGTTAACCACCAAACCTCAGCGACAGAAAAAGTCTGTACCATCACAGGCCTTTTAGGGCTAAAAAGAATATAGAGTTCCTCATGAAATGCTGCTTTTTAATGCTGTAAATACCATAAATCAAATTTGATTCACTTCCATTGTTTCGCCATAGTGACATGGAGCAAATAAAACCAAAACTCTGCATGGTCAGATACCACTAATGGTGAGTGAGTAAATTAACACTCTTTTTGTTGTTTTAACTACCAAAATCTTATTTTCACAAACGTAGGTTCTACATATTCACTTAAAACTGCTGACCATGTAATCACTTGTCAAATATGAGTCATTTTCATGCACCACGTTTTAAATCATACCATTGTAGAAATGGAAGGGGAGCTCAAAAGGAGCCAGGGCCGTAGGAAGCATTGACACTTCAGAGTTGAAGAGGAGGATGTATGTACTTCCATCCTCACCAGGGCTGTTCTCCATGATAGCCAGCCTCTGCGCACAGAAATGACACAGTTATCATACGTGTGATGTGCATCACAGCGTCACTCCATAATAGAGGCTGTGATGTGTCCTGTGACAAAACGGTAACTCACGGGGATGTGGGCCTTTCCTTCTACCAGGCTGATTTTCAAGCTTGTGTTTTTGCCTTCGAACAAAGGGAGGCTTTTGTTGCCGTCTCCATTTGAGTTTTTTATAGAAATGACCACATTCCCCTCCAGGTCCTGCCCCGCTGGGTTTCCATATGAATCCTGGAATCAGTCAAAGCAACTCAATCAGGCTGATTATCAGCTGATGAACATCTGAAAGCTGTTTCTGCTCTTCTACATGAGGTAAACATTAATCCCTCTGAGGATATAAGCTCACCATTATCCTCAGAGTCAGATTGTCCACCAAGGTTCTGTGGGCAAGGACCTTACTGTGGGAAACAACTGGGGCTTGTGGCTGAGAGTCAGGACCCAGTTTGACAGGTTGATTGGCCACCACATTTATAGGAATCTAGGAGACAGGAAACAGTGCTAGGTTTAGTCATTCCTCTCAGTGAGTCGAGTTTAACGACCTACAACCCCTGCAACGATTCAGTGAACAACTTTTCTGTAAAACAATTAAGAGTCAACAATGTGAATACCATCTCCACGTGATTTGAAGTTGTGTTGGGTGTGTGGAAATAACTCATTAAGGAGCTGTGATGTTTCCAGATGTTATATTCAACCAACCTGTTTACTGAGTAGGACTTTTGTTTTGTCTATTCGTAGAGAAAACTGGATGATGTGCTTTCCAACCTGCTCTGGGATCTCTTTGTCTCTGCAGCAAAGAGAAGAAAATCAACATTTATGTTTCTGAAAGAAATAATTACCGTTAAACAGAGCCAAGCCATCAGTTTTCCCCGTTTCTAGTATTGCTAAGCTAACCGTGCTTGCAGTAATTTCATATTTTATGTACAGAGATAGATAACAATGGTATCAAATGTTCTGCAACTCAGTCAGAACAAAAACAGACAGGATGTAAAAACATTTTAAAGATATTTTTTTTGGGCATTTTTTGCCTTTAATGGACAGGACAGTCAAGCGTGAAACAGGGAGAGAGAGAGGGGATGACACGCAGCAAAGGGCCACAGGCTGGACTCTAACCCGGGCCGCTGCGGCAACAGCCTTGCACATGGGGCGCCTGCTCCACCACCAAGCCACCGACGCCCCGGGATGCAAAAACATTTTACCTGAAGTAAAAACGGTCTTTCGACTCGTTCTCCTTGGGTTTGCTACACTTCATCTCAGTGGCCTAGACAAAAGAAGGAGAAGAATATCACTTAATAAATAAGAATTTAGTTTAAAAGAAAGGCAAATAAATATCAGGGACAGTCCTTCTGTTTGTTTGACTCTTACCGTTTGTGGAGGCGTGTTTTCTGCTTGCGCTCCCTTCCACAGCAACATGGAGGCAGCAGCAGGGTTTAATGTCGTAATCGGGCTTCCTTCATCAGACACCACGATGACAGAGAAGACTGAACAGACACACACAGCTGCCTTTAGTTTGTTAAGAGATGCTAAAGCAGTTGCATTTTAGCCTCGTTTCCACCAAACACTTTTGTTATGGTACCTTTGGACCAAAAAGTAATCCTTCAGACATGGTACTTAGACCCTATGTCTGTTTAGCGTTTCCACCACAAACAGTACCCTTTAATGTGGCGGGCTTGTTGTCACTCACTGCTACATCCAGCACTCATTGTATTTCCTCATAGATGGAACGTATGCACCTTGTTTACTATCCACAGAACGAGTAAAAAAATAGCGGGTTTGTGCATTTAGTGCTTCTCAGGCAAGTGCAGCTGGCTGGAGCCCACAGGAACGACAATCCACAATGCTTTTTTTCTAGTGAGAATTGGGATATATGTAGTTGTAGTACGAAGTTCATATTTTTAAACGTTTGAATATCCACTTAATTAAAGTCTGTGCCATCCAAGAGAAAAAAAATGAAGTAATGGTCAAAGCTGTAATCAACTGACTGCAGTGTTCACAGCTCCACCTTTTAGTACCAGATCTGTGTGCTAGGTACCCCAACAGAAGGGGGCCAAAAATGGGGACGGAACGGTTCATTGGTACCATCCACAACTTTTCACAATGGAAACGGAAAAAATGGGGATCGAAGTGAAGTGGGCCGCACTGCACTGCTCGATGGAAACGGGGCTATAGTGGAACAAGAGCTTCACAGTCAGAGAAAACACAGAGATACAATAGAGAAACAAACCTGGAAAGACACCTCCAGCAGGAAACTTGGCATTGGTGTTATACTCCACTGACAGGCTGACAGGTTTGGTGGGATCAGGGATGATAGTGAGATTCACTGATGGACCTGGGATGGGTTTCTGGTTGAGTGAGCCTCTAAACACCAGCTGATAGTACCCCCTAGTGGAACAAGAGGGCAATAACACTCCTATGAGTAGCTGGTGGGAAATACTGTCATGCAGAGTATTGGAAATGTGGACGACTGAGGATACAAATGATAAGGGACACTGCTTTTATGTCATTATGATGGAAAAAAATGCTCCCTTTTCATATTATATTTTAAAGTGACACTCACTTTGGTCCACTCATACTGTTAACAGTGAAAGAGGCTTTGCCTTCTTTGTTCACAGGTCGTGAGGTAACATCTGCCGTCACCTAAAACAACAAGAAGCTCTCATTTCATATAAATCAGACATTCCTGACCATTACTGACTTTCTGAAAAGTATGGACGGAACAGGGTAAATAGAGTATGTTTGCATTTCTTGTGAAGCTAACCTTCAGTGTTGGAGGTGAGGACTTCAAATGTACCACAACCCTCTGGTCTATGCAGGGGTTTCCCCACTCGTCACACAGTTGGACGATAAATGGTGTGCCGATGCCTTGGTCATTCAACACCTGCAAAGGCTAACAGATACCAAACAAAACACATAACATAACCAGTGTTGGTTTGGTTAAGAAAAATTATGACTAAATATGTTTGTCAACAACTTTTTTCCCATCATCCATAAAAAATCATTACACACAGAAATCTTACACACTGATTCTGATGCATTTTATTGTTCTATTCGTTGCGAAAATTCGCAATACATGCCAAAATGAAAAGACACATTCCCTCCTTTATCTGTCTCCAATGGAGTTACATATCTGGCTGTCATCACTCCCTCACTGTCTTTCATTTGGCACCGCAGCTCCATGAAGGGGAGGAGCTTTCCTCCCTCTGTGTGCGGTCCATTTCCTCCTCCTCTTCATCATAATCCATGTGAATATTACTATTTGACCTGTTGAACATGAGCTATCAGAGTTATGAAATGATTCTGTGCCCCCCATTCTTCTGTCGTGTCGTGGCTGTGTCCTGCCACCACATTTTCCGCACTGATTCTTAATCAAACGTCTCTAAACACCTGGCGAAATGATCACTAAACTAAAAGCATCAATCAAGAGACAGGAAATGAGGGGAGATGACATGCAAAGGTCCCCTGGCGGACTCACACTAGGGAGGTTGTGATTACATGGCCAGTTTCTTAATCCCCTAGCCTACCAGGACTCCCCAGTAAAAATCTTTTCTTACCTGCTTTGGCCCACTGACTAGTTTAAGCTGTGCAGGGACGCCAGCAGTCACTTTGACCATGACGCGCTCCACAAAGCTCCTGTAGGTGAAGCACATCACTTTGCTGCCAGGAGCTCCAGACTGGAAACGCACCCCCGTTACCAGGACAGACTTGCTGCTCTCCTGATTTTAACAAACACAGTGAGGATCAATATATCAGTAATTATCAATACAGATACACAGTTATGTAAGAACTATTCAGGTGCTTTAATGAACACAGTGTGAAGGAAAATGATAGACATATCAGCAGCAAGATGTACTTAAAATTAAAGTATGGAGCAAATGATTGAAATAATTGTTAGTTGCAGCCCAAATATTCTATATAGGTTTTTAAAATTCAAATTAAATGGTAACCTAAATTCACTACACCAAAAGTTGCAACTCAGTTATGGCTGCTAAACAAAAAATTACAATAAATTGAGCAGCATAATCATCAGATTTGCTGCTGTATATCCTGCGGAGGAAAACACTGCCATCTAAGGAGTGCATAACCAGCTTCTGATAATCTACAGCAAAGCCCTCACACTACCTGTATATTCAAGGGATGTAAATTTCTGGAGCTGTACCAAACTCAGAATTATGTCAGTTGACTCACATTTGGCTGTTCAATGCGTATATTCAACTATTTGTTCCTTTTTCCCATACAGAGTATTTGAGCATATCATACTGAGAGTTTGAACAGGGTTTAGTGGGACGTTCAGTGTGACAGTGACATTCACACAACATAGTCAACAAGCTAACTACGCTTGGAAATGTGCAACATTTTTTGCTGACACTAAATATCAAGCAAAAGCAAGTGACTGTGTTGTATTATGTTGCTATGAGCTGTAAATTCACCACTTCCAAGCAGAAGGCAGAGGATAATGCTGTTTTGGAGCCTCACCAAGCACATCCTCTCCTCCTCCTTTCTCTGTGTCTGCAGCTGCCTGTACCAGAGAGCAGTGTGAAAGCAAGCACTGCTTACTATGATGCAAAATCTGGGGACCAAAATGTCCCTAGAATTTAACTGCACTCTGACCAGCACAAAAAAGGACTGCTTAACTTGAAGCAATCTCAGTTGACTGAGGGGTCTCTGATTGATGATCTGAATCTCTGACCTTTAGGAGGCGGCCCTACAAATTTCCAGGGAATGAATCAATTATATCCAGCTCTTAGAGCAACAAAGCCACTTCCCTCAGTCAGGAACGCTTCTGATGCCACCCAAGCAGAGAAGAGAAAGCCTTTTTGAATTTTTTATGGTCGTAGAAAAGGGTGAGATAGAGGTGATCTCCTCACCTGGGCTGTCACAGTTTGCAGTTAAAAAGATGGTAATAGCCTCATGTCACTCATCGCTACATCAGAAAATACATAGGATATTTGGACCCACAACTGGCTACTAAATATTCAGAATATTTACAAAAAAATTAGATTAAAAAATTATAATAATACTAAAATAAAATAAAGGCAACCTCATAAAGTTTGGAGAAAGCTGAGACAGAGTAAAGACAGCATTAGTGAACAACTATATTGTACTTCTGTGCTGAACAACACATTTATTTCTACAGTCTCAGTGAAATTTTCCTTTAAGTTTGTGTCTTTTTCCCACCTGCCATGTAAAGACGATGGACGATTTGTCCAGATCCTCCGCTTCCACAGTCATGTGGTTCTTACAGGTGGATGTGAGCGTCTTGGTTGGATTACCATATTGGTCCACAAGCTCCAAGTCTGCATACAGAGAAAGAGGTGTGTCATCTCATGTGCAACCATGACCTCAAAAATAAGATTTGGGGTGATTAGGTTCATACTCACCGATGTTTCCAGGTAGGATTTCACCCAGTTTCACTGTGGTTTGGAGAAGAGTTGCTTTCAGCTGTGTTGGTTCATCTGGACGAGGCCTACACAACAAACAAGCGGGGATGTAGACTTTAAAAGGTACCGTACTGAATATTAAAGGGAAGTTCAACATTTTAGGAATGTTTTGCTTTCTTGCTGAGAGTTAGGTGAGAAAAAAATCAATGCTACTCTTCTAGATTGGCTCTGTCTGAACCACAGTGTGTTGTGTGTTACAGTTTTTGTACATACCAAAATCAAAGGACGTGTTTTAGTTGGTGAGCTCAGCCAATCAGCTGCAATACCACTACTTTAAAAAAACAAAACAGCTGCATACTAATAACCCTGTATGGATGTGAAATGCTATCATTGTTGTACTGTCAGGGTTAGAATCAGAATCAGAAATACTTTACTGATCCCTGAGGGGAAACTGTGAATCACTCTGATGTAAAGAATAGAGAATTATAAACGGTAAGAATAAGAGAATAAAACAGAAATATGTAAATATAAAGCAATAAAATAAAATAGAAATGAAAATGTGCATTAAAATAAAAATAAAATGTGCATTATGCTGCAGTGTTTAACACCAGTACTTAAGATATTAAAAATATTAAACATATTATATATCATCACTGTGCTGAGGCTTTAAGTGTGGAAAAAGATAATTATAAATTATAAATGCAGCAGGTGAATGAAGTCTATTGACTCAGAGTGGCTGACACTCTGAGGGAGGAGTTGTCCTAGGGCTGGGCAATATGAAGATATTATATCGTTATCAAGATATAAGACTATATATCGTCTTAGATTTTGGATATCGTTGTATCGTAATATGGCATAAATGGTATTTTCCCCTCGATTTAAAGGCTGCATTACAGTACAGTGATGTAAATTAATCAACTCACCAAACTTTTATTTGTTTTAATGCTTGCCTTAACCACTTAGTCATTATTGTGTTAATATTTTCTGACAAAAAAAAAGCAAAGAAAAAAAAAATCATTGTTATGTTCGATTTTGTCTCCCAGTCCTAGCATTAATAAAGTAAAAACATTGTAATACAATATTCAGGACATATTGCCCAGCCCTAACTTGTACAGGTTAAACCCTCTGTTAAACGTGATGGGGTGTTAAAATTGGCTACACTAGTGCCACTTGGGATGTTCCTAAAAAACAATATCCCTGAGTAGTCGACCAATCTAAAAATAAGAAAGCATTCTAACAAACAAACAAAAAAAATCTAAATTGAGCACAAGTCCACAACCAAATTGTATTTTAAATGCTGCTGAAGTGTGTGGCACTTTGCACCATGCATTATGAATTACCAGTTTCCTACAAAACATAACAACTCACTAAGTATATATTTACTGAGTATTAAATGTCCTGACTCATCTCCATTCAAAAACACACACTCCCGCAGTAACTCTCAGGCAGGGGTGTGCATGCAAATACGTCCAGCCTTGCTGGGATCTCGTGTGCGTCTAAAACCACAGCTGCTGTCATCGCTGCATCTACAAATGCAAATTAAGACTTAGTCATGCAAAGTGAACGCCATCTTTCAACAACATCCAGATATGCAGACGACCTCTCTGGGCCAAGCTCATCTGAGATGGACTGAGACAAAGTGGAAAAGTGTGCTGTGGTCTAAGGAGTCTACATATCCGATTGTTTTTGCACGTCATGTCCTCCAGGTTAAAGAGGAAAAGAACCATCCAGATTGTTGCCAGTGCAAAGTTAAAAGCCAGCATGGGTGATGGTATGTAGGAGTGTTAGTGCCCATGGAATCATGGGTAACTTGGACATCTGTGAAGGCACCATGAATGCTGAAAGGTACATACAGGTTTTTGTTCAACATATGCTGCCATCCAGACGAAGTCTTTTTAAGGGACATCATTGTCATAGTCAATCATTGCACTCTGTTTTTTATGTTTCACACAGCGTCCCAGTGTTTTTGGAATTGGGGTTGTATATTAAACCTATAGACATGTGAGTATCCATCCTCTCATCTAACTCTTGGTAAGAAAGCAAATGAGCATATTTCCTTAAAATTAACCAATTCCTTTAAGCTTACAACCACTAAATGACAGCTTTGAGTCAGGTAAGTGTCTTACGCAATGCTGAAGGAGACAGAGACACTGTGGTCTTGGTAGGACACCTGGTAGAAGCGCTCTGCCCCCACCTGCGTGGGCACCTGCACATCGGGCAGCTTCCCCTGGACCAAATCTTCCATATTTACATCTCCTGTCCAGTTAACCTAAGACACAGTCAGAGTACACAATGAAAAGTTAGCAATAAGCTGAGAGACGCTCAAATACAGTGACTCTAAATGTCTGATTTATTGAAATATGGTTTATTTTATTCATCACAACACAGCAAAAACCACAGCTAAAAGAAAAACACTCTCAAAAATCTGCCAACCAAAATCAACACCTGCAAAACAGGATGGTATATGATACTAAACAAACCTTGATCCTGGAGGCTATTTCAGCAGTGTGAGGGACCTCTCTATCCGCCTCATCATACAGTTTATAGAACAGGTTCTCCAGCAAGGCTCCGGCCAGCCATTCTATCTTTTCATCGTTTCTAAGCACCAAGTTCTCATCATCCTCACTGCAGAGCTCCATCCTGGCAACTCTTGTGCCGGGCACCACCTCCAGCTCCCTCATGACCAATGCAATCTTCTTCTGACTCTGGTGGTAGAACAAAGAGGGGGATGGAGACATGAACAAATTTTTAATCAGGGAATGTTCTACGAAGCAGGAAGCTTTATTTTCTGTTGTTTTTTGTTTTGTTTTTTACTTACAGGCATGTCAAAATGAGCTTTGAGGTATTGTGGTTCTCCCTTGATTATTTTCAGGTTTATGGGCTTTGTCACAAGCTGTCCAGCTCCTGTGGTGCTACAGTCAGTTGTCACTGCTGGAAACCCTTCAATCTGTTTCAAAAATAAAAGGATACGTATGAGTTAACCAACTCAGAGTTACAAGAGTGGGGCGTGAAAGATGAAAACATTACCTTAAAGCATATTTTAGTTAAAATGAAAACATCATGAATTGGCAATCAAAAGCAGAGAAGACTCTTGAGTTTTATAAATTTTAACACAGGCACCGAATTATTTCTCACAACTGTACCTGGCAGCGAACGTTCTGTTTGGGGTGAGCAGTGATGTTTCCAGCCACATCATGAATTTCAACATTAAACGTAACAGGGTCTCCATTCTGTACCCTGATTGGGTTCTCTTCTGGCTTCACATGGAGGGAATGTGGATTACCTGAAAAACATTGTCATGCAGCTGAGAGACTATTGAGTGTCAACTGTCAACGGGCATACTGTTCACTGTCAAGTTGCAGTTACAGTTTACATCCATGTCTGTCCAGACTCATATGTAGCCATGACAGCAGACAATGCTTTAAATATGGATGTTGCTGTAAAGAAGCCACAAATTCTAGCACATGGATGCTTCACACACGTCTTCAACCCGGCAGCACAGAAGATCTAAACACAATGCCAAGGAGGACACCTAAAATTAGAGTCACCAAATCGCTATCTGACCAAATATCTCCCCATCTGTTTCTGACTTATGGTGCTGAACAATGGCCAGAAAACCTTTTTTGCAGAACATTATGATGTCACATTGAAGTTGACCTTTGACCTTTTGACTATAAAACATCATCACTTCATTATTTTATCCTATTTTTTGTTTATTTGAATTTTTGTTATAATTTGTGTATGAATTCTTAAGTTATGGCCAAAAACATGTTTTGTGAGGTCAAAGTGACCTTTGACTGCCTAAATCAAATCAGTTCATTGCTGAGTCCAAATGGACATTTGTGCCAAATTTGAGGAAATTCCCTCAAGGCCTTCTTGAGATATCACATTCACAAAAGTGAGACGGACACAAGGTCACAGTGACCTTGGCCTTTAACCACCAATTTCTAATCAGTTCATCTCAAGTCCAAGTGGACATTTGTGTGAAATTTGAAGAAATTCCCTCAAAACGTTCTTGAGATATTGTGTTCACAAGAATGACACAGACAAGGCCACAGCAACCCTGACCCTTGCCCACCAAAAACTAATGAGATCATCAGAGTCCCAGTGAACATTTGAGCCAAATTAGAAGAAGTTCCCACAAGGTGCTCTTGAGATACCACGTTCACAAGAGTAAGATGAACAAGATCACAGTGACCCTTGATCACCAAAATCTTATCAGTTCATCACTGGGTCCAAGGGAATGTTCCCAACATGCACCCATTGCCTCAAGACGTTTGTATTTACGAGAATAAGAGGGATGGGGTTTAAAGTGACCTTGACCTTTGAACATCAAAATGTAATCAGTTCATTCTTAAGTCCTAGTGTTCTTATATTCTGTGTTTGTGATGTGTATGGGCATGTACCCCCACAGCACTCAGGTGAGGTCGAGGCTTTATATAAACGTGGTGGCCAGGTGCCAGACCATAAGCATCAAGATCCAAGAAACACAGCACCAAAAAAAAAATGCAAATATAAAGAGGCAAAACGCAAAATGAGAGTGAATTGGGTGTTAGCTTTAACTTCAACTTTTGCTTGTGAGACTGTTTACAAAAAGTAACCGACAATCCTGTGGATTATACCTTTAACCAATCAATATTATTTATTGCTCTAGATGGATAAATAAACGGGATCTTACCAGGAAGAAGACTGATCTTGATAGTCTGTGTGTCTTTCTTCAGGCCAGGCAGGGTTACTTTCAGGTCATATGTCTGCAAAATAAAATACAGAATGGAAATAAATAATAATAATAATAATAATAATAATAACTTTATTTGTATTGCACTTATCTAAACAAGGTTGAAGTGCTTCACAAAACACTTGATAATAAAACAATAAAAATATAGTTACAACGATAAGAACAATAATGAGAGCTAGGAAAACAGTGCGTAGAAAGGCAAACACAAATGTTACAAATCAGGCATTACAAAAAAACTTTGCTGTAAAACTAAGTTTCAAGCAATAATTAAAAACCAGAGCCTAACAGAGGATAACAATTGTTGTGTCTCGGGTGTCAAGCAGTTGCCGTTTGTGTCAAATGTTGTACTCTTGTCTACAGGGCTGACATGTGAAACTTCTGTTCTTGACTGCACTGTTGATTTTACTGCATTACTGAAATCCAGGTCCTTGCGCAATACTGACTGAAACATGCTTTTTGTATACACTCTTATTCCTATTTATATATTATTATACATTTTGCGTCAACCTTTCTAGTGAGCAAGCAAGCTAATGTCTGAGATGAGAGCATCATTTTTCTCACCTTCGACTGCTGGTAATTCAGGACTCTTCCTAATGCTTTGACACCTCTGATGGTGAACGTGGTGCCATTGCTGTCCGCTGTCTCGTAACTCAGGTCCAGGCCACTGAATGATAATGATAATGTTATTGGAGCCAGAGCTGACTCCCACATTTGGCAAACTAAACAAGTAATGACAGTTACGAAAAACTGAAGATACATGACAGAAGCATACAAATGATCAATCAAACAAGTTACATAAACTTGTTGTTGTTAGATAACAACCACATGTCAAAACCCTTTTCAAACAATAAGCAAAGACGGGACTGCTTAATGAGATGTCCAGTGAAAACAAAGAAAAGACAACAAAACTGGGGTTAAATGTTTTCTGACAGTTGGAGTTAAAATGGAGTGACCCACCTGCATTTGAGTACAGGTTTGAGATCAGGAGGAGGGGTCGCTGAGTGGTCATAACCGTCTTTTATCAGCAGAGGAATGTTGAATGGCACTCCCACATGAAGAGTGGAGTTCACTGCACCGATTAGGAATTTCTCAGCACTGCCCTCTGAGAAGGACAAAAACAGTGGAAGTGTATAACTGGGGCATCCAGAAAGGATGATAAATATGTTCTGTTGTTTTCCTTACCAGTGATGGTGAAGTTGAGTTTGAAGCTTGGAAGCTCTCTGCCTCCGAAGGAGGTAGCATTACTTTCCTTTAATATAGTGACCAGCAACAGAGTATACTTTCCCAGGATGGTCAGTTTCTCTGCCAAAGATGGGATGTTTGCAAAACTGATACTTGTTCTGATACAAAAAAAACAGGGCATGCAAAAAGTATTCGATAATGAAAAGGTTGACAAATAAAAAGAGATGTACCACTTTCTTTGAACCAGAAACCCCACTGGGCTGAATGCTGGGCAACACAAAGGGAAATCTCTTGAGCTCCTTTGGGACCTACATATACAAGAAAAGTCGAGTTTACTACAACATCCAGAGGCAAAAAAAACTCTGTTACAATTGGTATACCAGAAGCTGAACAACAAAGAATTAGAGAGAAGAGCGGGAACAAAGTAGAGCCACAAAAAAGGCTGAAAAAAATGAAGTGGCAATAACTTTTTAAAGTAATTTAACAAACATAAATTCTCTAGTCCCAACATTTCAAATGTGAGGGTTTTTTTGTGCTCCAAAAACTGAGAAATTGTAAAAAGCATTTTTCAATATTTGACAGGCAGTTAATTTAGTTAGTTAATTAAATTAAATAGTTAATTTAAAGGAGCTATATGTAAGAAATATAAAGCAAATAGTCGTAAAATCATCCTAATATGTCACAGAGACTAAGGAATAATGTTCATATTACATACTGATCTCACCGACAGCAATAGTACAGCCAGAATATTCGCATTTAAAAAAAAATTTACGGTCCGCAAATCATGTTTATGTTTTGAATTTGTGTTTTGGCCTGTTGCGCCACCCACCTCTGTCTACCAGTTACGCAGTCAGTAGAGTCTCAGCATCAGTTAAAGTTACGACTGAGCTACAGCAGCACGGCAAGCAGCATTAGCAGTGTCCCAGTACATAGCATTAGCAGCCGGCTCCTCCTTAGCTGTATCCCGGCAGCAGCGTTAGCAGCAGAGAAGCTGGACTTGCTCGAACGGTCCGCTGGAAAACCGAAGATCAAGGACGCGGCGACGCGGCCCTGCCACGGCAGCTGCCCGTGGGCAAACAAATCAGTCTCCAGTGTGCCGCTGTCCCGCAACCTCGAATCTGTAAGGGAGGGGGGGCGGACACGACTCGCAGCAGTATTTTGAATTTGAGTGCAGTAACCGTTTTGGCCACATTCTTACATACAGCGCCTTTAATCAATATTAGTCATAGCAGTAACATTTTTAATATCATCTCAAAAATTCTTATCGTGATACTAGCAATATTTCGACTTGTTGATATATTGAAGAAATTATGTCAGACTCTGTGGTGGTTCCAAAAAGACGAGCCGCTTCAGCAGTGTAGAATAAACTGGCATCCTGAATGTTTTATGAACAACTTCCAGACTCTTTTAGCGAGTTGCTGCTCAGAAGGAACTCATTCAGCAGCTCCTCTGGCAGCAGCACAGCGTCTCTCCCACTCCTCTCTCACAGCGAGCACGGGGAAGTTGGTGTCGTCAAGTGATTTTGTCATAAACCTTTGGTAATGTAAACCTACATGACGCTCGCGGCTCAAGAAAAAACTACATATGTGAATGTGCGATAGTTCTGGTTTCATAATGGTTGAATATTATATCAATTCTTTGGACAACAATACAATATTTGCTGATATTACAAAGTCTGCCACAATACAAAATCATTTCAATTTGATTTAGGGGCCTGCGATCGATATGAGATGATTTTAGTAAAAATCCTCATTGTCTAATAGGAGTCAATCGGAGGTCATTGAAAAGATAATCATCCAGATCGATTTATTGTTACACCCCTTGTCAATATGTTACAAACCTAATACCAGCTTTTAAAGCTATTAAGGTAATTCTATATCATGTGTTTTCATACATTGCAAACCACTTTTCAGAGGTTTAGGGTTGCGTGTTTTTTTTTTGTCTTACTGTGATGGATGATTCTGCGCTCAATACTCAGTCTTTTCCCTGTCCCCTGACCCACTGATGGCATCTTGGATAAAGAATCTCCCTTCTTGTTCAGAATTTGAATTTGCAGTTCACCTAAAATGATGTGAAAGTAAAAAAACACAATGACATGACTTTTGGGCTCCATGAAAAAGGACATGTTTCAACATTATCATGTTTCGAGGCACACCAATGACCACTACGTTTACCTATGACACTCCCGGCTGGACGTACAGCATTCTGTGGCCAGGGGTTCTTAGATGGCCAGTCCACTGTCAGAATATCTGGAAGCCTGGGAGAAAAAATATTATTTACATGAGCTGATAAAGTCTCATCAGGCTGAAGCTATTGCATTTCATCAGAACAAGGAGATAAGGTGGAGGGAGGTAAAACATAGTATCACATATTACTCCAAACATTTTACTGAATCACATCTAAAGTAGAATTACTGCCTTACGGTTGTATGTTTTTGCAAACGAGTCAAGTTGCAGTCACAGTTTATATTCGTGTTTGTGAAAACATGGATGCTTCACACACACACACACACACACACACACACACACACACACACACACACACACCCGGCAGCACAGAAGATCTCAACACTCAGCACAGTTTCAAGGTGGACACCATTATATTGTTTTCATTATCTGACCAAATGTCTCCCCTTCTGTTCCTGAGTTATGACGTTAAGTAATGGCCAGAAAAGTGTTTTTAAAGAACATTATGATGTCACGGTGAAGCTGACCTTTGACCTTTTGGATTACTTCATCATTTTATCCTCTTAGACGGTTTTGTGAAATTCTGTCATAATTAGCATATGACTTCTTGTGTTATGACTAAAAACAGGTTTTGTGACCTTGACCTTTGACCTTCAACCACCAAATTCTTATTCGCTCATCCTGGAGTCCAAATGAACATATGTGCCAGGTTCGAAAAAAATTTGCTCAAGATGTTCTCGAGATATCTTGTTCATGAGAATGAGACGGACAAGGTCACAGTGACCTCGACCTTTGACCACCAAAATCTAATCAGTTCATCCTCGAGTCCTAGTGGACGTTTGTGCCAAAGTTGAAAAAAGCTGAAGGTGTTCTTGAAATACTGCACTTATGAGAATGAGACAGTCGAGGTAACAGTGACCTTGACTACGAAAATCTAATCAGCTCATTGCTGAGTCCAGGTGGGCATTTGTCCCAAATTTGAAGAAATTCTCTCGAGGCATTCTTGAGATGTTGCCTTCACGAGAATCAGAAAGACAAACGGACAACCCAAAAACATAATGCCACAGACCATGGCTATCACCAGTGCGGAGGCATAGAACTTGGGATACTGGAGATGATTGTGCTGCGTTCAAGGGGTCAACGGTGGTCTTGCTTTATGTTATAAATGCACTGTAAAGCCCAGATTAGATACTAGCAGCACAAAAGCATCTCTCGTAAGTGTGTGCATACCTGGCAGAGTCATTGTCGATGTATGTCTTGATGGCTTTATCAGTGGCGGTCTTGTCAATCTTGGAAATGGGTATTGTCTTGTTTTTGTCATGAAATGCTTTGGGTTCCTAGAAAACAGATTTGGTTATCAATACCATGTAAAAACAAGTAAACTCAAAAAAGTTCTTAGATGTTTTTACTAACATTACATGATTTCACACATGTATTCCCACATATAGATGTGGAAAAGAAGTCATTACAGATTAGGTTTTCTGTCACTTTAAACCTGGCATGAGGGGCCACCTGGACCTTATTGGGATCTTTGGAGTAAGCAGTTTCCTGATGCCATGCTCAAGTTAGGGCTGGGCAATAAATTCACTGATATTGTGATATGAGACTAGATATCGTTTTGGACTCTGGATATCGTAAAATTGTTAAGTGATGTCTTTTGCTGGTTTTAAAGGTTGCATTATAGCAGAGTTCCCAACTGGTGGGTCGCAGTCCAAAAGTGGGTCACAGGTTCATTCTCAATGGACCGCAAGTGACTCGCACGCATGTGAAGTTTGTAAAAACACACTTTACTTTGACACTGAGTGAATTTCCTGCAGGAAGCCTTTATGTTGAAGTGATGTTTCCTGCTGTAGAGTGAGTGACTAGTGGACAGCTACTTAACAGAAAAGGCAAACTTAACGTAAGTATGATGCTGAATACATTAAACTGTGTGGACCTTGAACTAATGACTAAGAAGAAATGTGGACCCAGTGGCCGGACCAGTTGGGAACCACTGCATTATACTGAAGTGATGTAATGTTCTGAACTTACCAGACTGTTCTAGCTGTTCAGTATAAGGCCTTTACCTACTTCGTCAATATCTCTACATTACTGATGACTATTTATCAAAAATCTCATCTCTCAATATTTTGTAAAAGCACCAATAGTCAACCCTACAACATCAATACTGAGATATCCAGTTGGAAAATACTGTGAAATTGGATTTTCTCCATATTGCCCAGTCCTAGCTAAAAGACGAAGATTTCTGCGTATTAAGTTAATACATTTCTATTTTTTTAATGATCATTTAAAAGTTTTTTCTTTATTGAAGCAAAAATGGTGTGAACTATAAAGACAGCAAGGTAAACTGGCGGAGAGGATTAACATGCAAGAAAATCTCATACTTTTATCACTTTAGCAAACACAAACACCATTATTCCTTTCTTACCAGAACCAATTCAACCTGTCCCCCTGTGGCAAAGACGTTTCCGTCGTGTTTTCCATACAGCAGAAAACGAACCACACTACCATACAGAATGGGCTGCGTTTTCCGAGACTTCACCTGTTTAAATAAGTATATAAGCATCAATATACAAAACAAAATAATTAGAATATACACTCATAAAAAGAATTCTTACGAGTTGGCCTTTTTTGTAAATTTTGCCATCCCATTCAATGGAGGAGAAAGTCGCCCAGGGCTCCTGCATTTTCTTAACAGGCACATCTGTTCGTGTTATGGTCCCCTGAAAGCCGAGGAACTGAATTTGCTTGTCCCACTTCTCGTGACAGTTTTTTAGCCACTGTGTAAACTCCTTCAGCATGTTACCTCTTTGTCTCTGTGAACATGGAAATAAAACATTTCAATAACACATCTGGTGGTTCTTTAAGTTCTTAAATTAAAATGGGCTAAGGCTACATGAAAATTAAGATTTTTGACCACTAGGAACCTGAAAGACACCAAAACTGGGGTTCTACTGTTGGCTTATCAAATTTATGGGGCTTCTTTGTCAGCAATTGACTGAGTAGTTACATATCCAACAAACAGGGCCACATGAGCGCCGTATTGCAGTCATGGTCATAGTCTAATAGTCACCGGCGTTAAGCTCTGCGGCATTAACTGATTTACTTCAGTTCACTGCATATAGGGAGGTAACTGCAGAACTGTTCTTTTCAGGTAAACACTTTCAATAATAAATATCAACAACATTAACAGCAAAATAAGAATCAGCATTCAACTTTTTATGCACTAATCAATCTTAGAAATATATCCACATCTAACACACATGCTACAGAAGTACACTCTTGAAGATGACACTGCTATCTGTTCTAATAATCAAAAAAAGTCCATTTGTATATGCCCACCTGTCCGTTAACAAGGCGTGTGAAGATAGCGTCCTTGCTCCTTAGTCTCTGCTCCAGCTCCATGAAGGTGAGCTTATTCGTGCTGACCTTGAATCTGTCATCAGTGAAAAGCACCCCTGAAATCCGACTGTAACACTCTGCAATCTCCTTTGAGTCTTTATTGGGTGCGCACCAATCAAACCTGTGCCAGATGGACAGTAAAAGTGTTAGAAGACCAACAACTGTGCTAATTCTTCAATAAATTAAGTTGAAGTTGCCTTAAAGCCTTGCCAAGGGTCAGATGAGAAAATATCTATACAAAATATAGAGCTAGTGAATTGCATGGGATTGTCCTTAGTAAAGTACTGGTCAAATTTAGTTTGGACTTGATAATGAAAAGTGAAGGGATTACTCAAGTTATTACATTTCATCCTCTGGGAACCATGGCTGTCTGTACTGATTGTCATAGCAATCTGTACTGATTGTCATAGCAATCTGCTTAAAGAGTTGTCAAGATATTTTAATCAAAACCACAAATGTGAACATCATGGTTTCCGTAGAGGAAAAGTTGGGGGATCACCAAAGTCCACAGATAACATTGGAACTATGGTGGTGTTTTTTTGTTGACTTAAGGCCCTAACACACCAAGCCAACAGTCAGCCATTGATTAAAGTTGGGCCTTGTCCACCCTCGTCAGTGCGGTGTGTCCTGCACCATTACCCCTCAGCGGCCCCTGACTTCTTTTTTTCTGCAAATTCTGCATATTTAATCAACATCAATGTCAGCAAAGCCTGCTGGTGAATGAAATCACTCTGATTGGTAGCTCAGCTCAGTGCATGAGAATAGAAATGGAAGTGAGGAAAGTAAACAAAAAGCTAAAGTCAGAGGGAATGTGACCAAGACAAAGTTGATACACAAGGTAAGTAGTCTGTTCTTTTCTGCCATTTAGCTCTTCAGCAGAAATGTTTTGTGATAGTTTGTGTTACTGTTCACTAGCACACAGTAAACATGCTTTGTTTCTTCAACATTTTTGTGTTGTTAGTGTGCTAACTGGCTAACTAGCATCTTACAGTTTTCCTTTTTGAATGAGGACAGACTACTTTTGTCTGCTGGTGTGAAGAGTTTTTCTCCACTCATGCAGGCACAGAATGAAAGTGCTGGTTTACCACATCCTGGCAGTGTGTTCCTGTGCAACTTTTTTGGCATGGCAACATCAGGCGACACTGGAGGGTGCCTTCATCTCTGCTGGCTCTTTGAAGTTGGTTTGGTGTGTGTGAGCCTTCAGGCTCGCTAACTGTAGCTGACTAAATTTGTTCTGACTATGGTAGGCATCACAGGACCTACTGCAAAAGAAGTAAACTGATGAGAACCCAAAGATGAATCTGAGTTCACTCAGTGCAGGTTTATTTGCCACAAATGAATGTCAAAAGAAATAAAGAGCTGTCCCAGGAAGCAGCTAACCCAAGAAAGACAGGGTTCTCAGGCTTATACAGAAATTGAGGCAACAGCACACATTCTTGGCTGCTCCCTAGACAGGCTAGGCCGTTGAATTTGTTTAATCGATAACAAAGACAACCTTGTTGGATAATAATCTCATAATCACCCTGTTTCTTCATATACGCCCTTCCTTAATGGCAACCAGGTGTTCATGACCTTGCTGAGACATCGTTTGGCTCCCTCGGTGGTGCAAGGTGTTCTGACTAAGCCAGATGTGTGCCAGATCACCATGGTTGTGTCAGATACAAATACACATTCAGATGTCCAACATTAATTATCAGCAAATATTAGTTTTAATTAGCTCATTGCTATATTCAGTGGTGGAAAAAAGTTTTCGGACACCCCATGCATTTGTGAAATATTGCATTAAGAATCACTCTTAGATCTTCAAGTGCAATTTCTTTTAGTACAGTCACAGCCAAAATACTAAATAAATCCTAAAAAAAAGCCATTTAAAATTTAAAATTGATTGGTTCCATAAAAATACATAAGAAATTTTGAGTATTGGGTCATTTGGTACCAGTGATGAAGGTCGTTCTTTTTATTAAAAGACACAATTTTTGTTGCCAAGCTTCGTGTCTACATAAAGCCAGCACATTTGAAAGTTCTTCAGACACAAAAATGGCTAAAACAAGGAACCTAACGCAGGAAACACGCCTGAAGATAAAGATTCTCAGCCAGGAAGGGTACAGCTGCCGCCAGATAGCCAGGAAGTGCAGATGCAGTCCTTGAGCAGTTGGATACACTCTGCAGAAATACAGATGAACCAACAGCTTGGAAGACAAACCAAGATCTGGGCGTCCAAGGGTTTCTTCAGCAAGAAATGACCGCATCCTGATCCACATGTGCAGGCAAAACCTCTGAATGACATCACAGGAGCTTCAGCAGCAGTGGTCAAACCAAACTGGTGTCCAGTGTTCCACCCGCACTGTACGTGGCCGACTTTTAGATCATGGCTTAAGGTCCTACAAGGCTATCAAGAAGCCCCTGATCAATGAGAGACAGAGGTTAGCCCGGCGTCGTTGGGCCCAGGCACACAAGAACTGGACAGCCAGGAATTGGAAGAAGATTTTGTAGTCAGATGAGTCCAGTTTCCAGCTTTATCTTCCTCCTACTAATGTGAGGGTACGCAGAAGGCCAGGCGAAGCATTATCTCCAGCATGTACAGTAGCATGGTGGAGGCAGTATCATGGTTTGGGGATGCATGAGTGCTGCTGGTGTTGGTCATCTCACTGTCTGTGATGGCACATTGAACTCTACCAAGTATTGTACCATTCTCGAAACCCACATGCTCCCTTCTGTGCGTGCACTGTTCCGTCGAGGTAAAAACTGGATGTTTCAACAAAATAATGCCCCTTGCCACACATCCAAGGCCAGTAGAACTTGGCTGCAGGAGCACAGTATCCAGGTCTTAGAGTGGCCAGCTCAATCCCCGGACATGAGCCCCATTGAAAATCTGTGGTGGATTATCAAAAGGTCTGTTTCAAAGCATAAACCAAAGAATTTAGAAGAATTAAAAGCAGTAATTCAAGAAGAATGGGACAAGATTACCCCTCAACAGTGTGAAAGGCTCGTGGGGAACATGCCAGCCAGGATTAGAGCTCTACTACGTGCCAATGGCAGGACTATTAATTTGATGATGTGATGGTTTATTTATTTTTTGTTCAGTTTTGAACACATTCTCTGTTATTTGTTGACTTTGATACCGACAATGTTGAGAACTGACATATTGAAACTGTCAAGAATTTAGTTTTGTTAGTTTTTCTTGTAAACAATAAACAAAAATATATAATTTGTATTTGTTTGTATCTGTCTAATGCAGCCACACCTTTTGAAACACAAAAAAGATTTTTCCACAAATATTTCATGATAATATTTGAGATTGTGTAAAATTTTAAGGGTGTCCGAAAACTTTTTTCCACCACTGTATGTCACATGCTTCAACAGATGTCATTACAGTCTGGGAAAGAGCTCAGTAAGACTGGCAATAACTTGCTTGACTGCTTGAGTCCTACCACAACATCAGCCTGAGGTGAGATCCATCCAGCAAAACAGACACACCCTAAACCTGCCAAAGTCAAATTTTCTACTTTCCATGGTTCAGCACTAGCTTCTCTTGCCCAGTGCTTGGTGGGCATCATTTCCTAGTTTGGCAGGACAGGCATCGTTTGTCTCTCTCTCAACTGGATTTGCATTCACACTGGCCCTCATTTACAAAAGGAACGTGTGACAGAAAACTGGGCGTAACATTTTGCTGGTTGAGCAGTGTAGATTGGATAAGTGAAGCTGAAACAAACTCCCATCTTTTATAAATGGGATAATGAAACAATCAAACAATGACAGGCTAATTAGAGCCAATCATTCATATAACATATAAATATATATTGAAAGTCCGGCACCCAGAGTGTCTGCTTAGGCCTCAATGCCTGAACAAATCTGGTCGATGATCCCTGTCCTGGGGTCACTGCAAGTTGATCCACTGTGGCAATTATCTGTTTCCCCTTGTCTCCAGTCCTTGTGCTATGCTAAGCTAACCACTTGGTGACTCTAGTGTAATATTTGGCATACAGACATGACAGTGGTTTCTTTAAATTTTCTCTCTCTGACAGAAATAGCAGATCATATCAACTTGTAAGTCTAAGGAATTAAGTTCCCTCCTGTAGAGTGCTCCAGGAATGAGCCCTAAGAAATGAGTTAGCACTTTACCACTCACGGTTCCCTCATCTCAGAGTGTTTTTGAATGGGTTGTTGTTAAGATGCCTGAAATAAGGTCTGCAGTTAACACAAGCTTAAGAGACTTTCACATTTTTTTCTATGACATAAAATATGCCAGTAAATACCCCACTCATGAACTTTGAAGCAGTCTTAAAAAGGCAGCTGCTAACAAGAGGCTAAATGGGACTACAGAGCGTCTTCACACAAAGTCGTGCCGAACGCGGCTTTTCAGTCTTCTTATGGTGGTGACGTTAGGTCATGCGACATGGTGTAGATTGTTAAAAGCCTAAAGTTAGCTTTTTACCTCTGGCGATTGCAGTAAGCCTTCATCATGAAAGTGGTGTTGATTTGTGAAGATTATCTTGCAGAACAAAACGTCGTATCATAAAGTACTATGAACGGTTGTTTGCCACAGAGCTTATTTTCGGTAATAATCCAAGATCCAATGGAAAAATCTCATAGGCTCTTTGATGAGGAAACCAGTGTAATGCTAACTTCCGTGTCGGCCCACAGAAAAACGTCAAACCTGAGACTAATTATGTAACAAAAAAAAAAAGCATTTACTCATCCACTGTTGTGTAAGGTATGAGCCGTCCGTTCCAGTAACAGTTAAATATCGGCCTTTTCCCTCTTGCCTGATGCAGGACTCCAGACTCATTATCGGTATCATCATCATCATCAGGAGTGGCTGATGAACAAAGATCAAAATGTAGATCCACAATTTTAATCCAAAACTGTCATATGTCATAAAGTATATTCAGTAATTTAGGGTTTGAATACCTTGCATGGCATCAGGGACTTCAGGATATGTTTCCTTGTCATAGAGGAAAGGATGATACCGAATGACTCCGTCGACAGTGCCACCGTCTTGTTCGGCCTTAAACTCAAAACTGTCTGCAGCAGAATTTATGTAGAGAGTCTGCATGTCGTTGTCAACTTCCCTAATATTCATCACACGGGGAATTCTGGGAGGCTTCTCGCGCAAAGTGATCTGATGAAAAGAGTCATATAATAATATCAGCGGAGACAGACTGCATTAAAGCAAAACCAGTCTGCAGAAAAACAGACGTTACTCACATTAACAATTAAAGCAGCAGCCTCACCTGAATGTCAATTTTAGAGAGATGATCTGAGTTTGTAGAGCTGCTCCTCATGTCCCTTCCATTGACTCCATGAATGTAATAGTGATACACGTTGCTGAAATATGGACATATTTTTTGCAGCAGACAACTTGGGACCTGTTCAGACTTTTGAGTACATATCGGATGGTGTGGGTGAATAAACTCACGCAAGCTGTCTCGTCCACACGTCAAAATTCTGCTTCAGAAATCTGATATGGTCAGGCAAGATTTCCGTAATGACCACAGCTGTGAAGCTTTCCTTCTCAAGTTCCTCAGTGATAAGGGGATGAAGAAAGCGCTCATCAGGTTTATTCACATGTGAAGAGTCCCCAGGCTGCAGGAGGACGACGACACATCCCACAGAGGATAGACAGAAGAGATGTTAACACAAAGAGCTCCAAAATGCAAAACATGATGACCTTGTTTTTGAAGTTACAAGCGCACACTTGCCTTCCTATGCCTTATGGTCTCACTGTAAATCTCCTCTTTGTTCTTCTCTTTTCTCTCAAAGTCCGCCTTTGACAGAACCAGCTCATGGACATCTGGGGAGCCTGCTGGTTTAGTGATCATCTAATAAACAAAGAAAACCAGTCGATGGTTATTTTTTACTTGTTCATTCGAATGTAGTCAGTCTGCGACTCATGTGCAAAAGGTCCCAACAAAAAACAACAACAAAGAAACATGCAGACTGGAGGCACCTCTACCTTTTGAGCCACAGCCGCTCAGCACTGCCTTAGTTTTACCTTTTGATCCAAGTTTTTCAGCCTTTGTTTTTTTGCAATACAGGAAACAGTATGGCGTCCACTGCCTCTTCACAAACTCTCCTAATACAGCTGAACAGTGCAATAAAATATGTTTCTAAAAACATTTTAGGTGAGAATCAGACAATGCTGTAACAGAAACTTGGTTTATATTTGATCAGCACTGCCTAGTTTTACTGTTTGATCAGAGGGGTGGCTCTCACTCTCTCAATCCGCCTCTGTACTCTTTGTGTTGTGTAGGGATGCAGATGCATGACGATGCAGATGTGGGTGATTTGGCATTGATTCCTAAATGTCAATAGTCAATTATTTAATTGTTTATTATTAACATGATATTGACAGAACTAAAGAGGTGGAACTCAAACGCGAGAGCAGAGCAGCACCCAGACGGTCTACAGTGCAGGCACGAAAGAGTTAAATAATGAATTATTGTGAATACTTTTTACGCCATCATCTAGAGACTAATGTTACCAGAGTGGAGCAGCGATTAGCAGTAATGTAAACAAAAAAGATCAACTGACCAACCCACTCTGCAGCCAAAAAAAAACAACAACTCTACGCTCAGTCTGAGTCAGTCTTAAAAACACAGCACATAACCCTCTCTCTACTGCTGGAGACATTAAAACAACACATCAGAGCATTTCACCTCCACATGATTTTGTTATTATCATACAGGCAGGACACTGTAACATGCTTTCATATGAATTAATTCATTAATTAATGCAGTTAACTTTTAAAATAAAAAGGCTGCTAACCATTTATTATTCAAGAGTATGTGAATTTCAAACTACAGTACCAGTCAAAAGTTTGGACACACTTTCCCATTAACTTCAATGAAAAAGTGTGTCCAAACATTTGACTGGTACTGTATATCAAGTGAAATATTACAGTATGCAAACACTGGACACTATGCCGGCAAAAAATATCCCACAAATATCCACGCAACTGGTTTAAAAGCTATGATATGGAAGCATTTTGGCCATAAGGTTAAAGGAAAAGGGGACCTGCAGTAAACTAATCTGTTTATTTAATTATGGATCTCTCCATATACAGTTAGCCATGTTTTAAAAATAACAAGTAGTCACACAGTAAGAAAAATAAATCATGCATAGAAATAAAAAGAATGCCTAATGTGCATCGTTAATAGTTTTGTCATTGAATCGTTGCCCTCTGAATCATAATCGAATCGAATTGTGAGATGCCTGGAGATTCCCACCTCTAGCGTCGTGCATACAAAAATTTGAAAGTAGTCCTCTGATATTCCCTGGTAACTGAGCAGGGAGATCTGGGCACCGGCAAGATGGAGGGAAGTTTACCATAGTTACCATAATATCTACCATGAAAAACTCCTAATAGAGCTTCATGTTATGGCAAGGAATTGATCTGAAATCAGGGAGAAATTAACATCTGCAACCAATATTACATATTTCCCTGATCCCCGTACAGTGTACGTAATGTAAAGACTTGCAGTAGCTTGCCTAGAGCAGATAAAGAAATCTATCATGAGCTGACGTCAGCTTGTCTTAAACCAGAAAAGAACAGTTAGAGTATCAACAATGGTCTGAAGCTGAGGTTCTGGCTTAAAGGGATTACTTTTACATTTGTTTAACTCATTATTTGAAACTTTGGTCACTTTTAATATGGACATCAAATATCATAACATTATATACATAAAGAAAAAACATAAAAGGGGCCTTTCAACTATTTTCACAGAGGACATACCCTGGTTGAGGTTCCGATATAGAAAGTGGCCTGTTTTCCTCCAACACCAAAGTAGGATATATCACTGTTGAGACTACGAGGGACAGGATCAGGCCGAACATAATCCTCCTGATTACTGTAGTGAAGGTAACAGAGAAAAACCAGACAAAATTTTCATTTTGGGCATTTAAAACTAAAAAGAAACAAGGCTGTAAGCACACCTTGGACAATTAAGGCTTATTTGATGCTAGAAACTTAAAAATGTAAAGCACACCAACCTTCCAAGTGACCCATTTTTCCTTGAAAATTTAGAGAGTCTGTACACTGCCCAGTTGTTGAGCTGTTTCGAGGTCATCCCGCATCCGTTATCTAGTACTATCACTGCATGTTTCCCGAGACTTTCATCAAACATCTTGAAAACAGACAAAAAAGGTCTGTTGCTATTGCAGATTTAGATAGACAAAGGCACAGATTGTTTAAACTCTCTGTGGACCTTTCATTAACATCATATGCAAAGGTTGAACGTGAAATATTTGGTTAGACAATCATATGCAACTGCAGAACCAACCATCCGTATCTCTATCGTCCTCACTCCTGTGTTTTTAGCTGTGGCCGAAAGAGAGTTGTCAATCAGCTCAGCAAGTGCGTACGCTGGAACAAAAAACACAAAGTAGTTCTGAGTGATGATATGCAGCTTAATTTCTCTGTCCATCTCAAGCAGACTATACTGATTATATGAGCACTTACACAATGGATTCTGGCCCTGACTAGCATAGTACTCATACGTGCCACTCCCAGTCAATGTATCATAATGAGGTTCAAATTTGATGCGCTCCTCTGTAGCCGCTACCAGAGCCTGGTCCTCGTGTTCCAACAAGAGGAGGGTGCTGCCATCCTGAAACTCCTCTACAATAAAAAAAAATCAACTATTTTAGCTGTCTTGTGTAAACTGATCCACAACACCCAGGTTTCAAGTCAAGAGACAGAAACACAGCAAATTCAAAACAAAGTCAGAAAAACTTTTGGTTACAGGTGACGCTATTGACAGTACAAATGAACCACAGTTTAAAATATATTTACTCATTTTTCTCGTCTATAATTTACAGTGGCATAATGTTTACTTTTGAATTAACAAGGACTGATTTACTCACCAAATTTGTCAAAATCCAGGACTGTTCTGTCCGTCGTGGCCAGCACAAATGTTTCATGTGGACGGATTCCAAATTTCTGTGACAAAATGTCAATCATTAATATTTTGTGTCTGTCTTTATTAGAGCTAAAACAACTTTTATTAGTCAATCAAAAGACAATTATCTGACAAATATTTTGATTATTGATTTATTATTTCAGTCATTTGTCAAGCAAAAATTCCAGCCATTCTCAGCTTCTCCAATGTTTGGATTTGCTGCTTTTGTCACTGTAATTTATTTCTTTTGGGGTTCAGACTGTTGGTTGGACAAAGCAAAACATCTGATGACATCATGGAAGCTGTGATCAAAATTCTTTACTATTTTCTGACACAAAAATGGACAATAGCAACAATCTTGTCAGATGTTCCCTGTGTCCCTCTACTATTTAAAAGCATTAACTAAAGACATTTTACTATATATTTAAGATAGCAATGCCTTTAAAGTGTTTCCCAAAGAATTAAAATCTATGTGTGGCTGTAGCATTCTCACTGCACCTGGGGCCCTGCTGTTCTGTCTGTGGAGCAAATACAAACTGTTTTTCCTGTTGATAAAACAGTCATCATGTTATTTTAAATAGAAATGTCATAACATGCCATCTCTGTAGGGAGTGGTGTGCAACAACAACCTGCATGATGACATGCAAACTCACTCAAGGGAAGGGCATTCATGCCCCTGAGCACTGGCACAGTAGCAGCTAAAGTCAGCCTCAACAATCCTGTATGAGTACTGATCCACCAAACTTCAACAGTTTTGTTTTCTTGAATTTTGGAGCCACTGGGGCCATGAGCTATTGAGAGGGACAAACTTAAAAGTCTCACATACTGCAGCTAGCTATAAACAGCTGTTCTTGAACACTCTGCTTCAATTTGTTAAGCAAGATTACTGACAATATTTTTCACATTTTCTTGAGTAATTTCTTGCTTTATGATGACTGTGTATCCTAGCCTGTCTTCAGAGGTGGAACAAGTATTCAAATTATTAACTTAAGTAAAATAAACAACATCACAGTATTAAAATACTCCATTAAAATTAAAAGTTCTGCATTTAAAATTTAACTTCCATAAAAGTACATTAGTATGAGCGACAAAATGTACTTTAAGTATCAGAAGTAAACCTACTCATAATGCTGAGCAGCTACTGTCGGTGATGTACTATTATATTATTGGATCATTATTTTTTAAGTAATAAATATTGAGTTTACAAGATTGAGAGAGATGCAAGGTCACACTGACCTTGACTTTTGACCACCAAAATCTAATCAGTTTATCACAAGTTCAAGGGGATGTTTGTGCCAAAACTGAAGAAATTCCCTCAAGGCGTCCTTGAGATATTGTGTTCAAAAGAATGGGATGGACGGACAGACAGACAACCCGAAAATATAATGCCTCCTGCTACAGCTATCACCAGCAGAAGTGTAAAAAGTGTTGAACTGGGCAATAAAGCTGAAAGGTCCTAAAAACATAAGTGCATTAATGTTGCGCTCCAAGGGCTTTGCTGAGCCACATCATCCAAAAATATGCCAAAAAAGTCATGCCTGCACTGCAACAACATACAGAGCATTAGAATTAATGCTCTACATATAAGCTTTTACCACATTGAAAATATTCTGATATAACCTCTTTGTAATCACCAACATTTTGATTATAAACTCTGGTTGAATTTCATTTTTTTTTTTAACCAATAATTGATTGCAACTACATTTATTTTGTAATTTAATTACGTAACTTTGATACTTCCAACTACACTGTTCAAAAAATTATGGGAACACTTAATAGTCACAGTATAACACCAAGTCAGTTAAACTTCAGGGATATTAATCTGTCCATTTAGGAAGCACAAGTGATTGTGAATCAGTTTCACCTGCTTTGTTGTAAATGCAAGTGACAACAGGTGCAATGGAGAGGCAAAAGCAAGACAACCTCCAAAGAGGAGATGGTTTTGCATGTGGTGGCCACTGGCCTTTACATGAAGGGAGCTGGACAGGGCCGCAGAAGGATATCAACCCAACAGCCTCTGTGTGAGGAGGAAAAGGAGGAACACTGCCAGAGGCCTACAAAATGACCTCCAGCAGGCTACTGGTGTGCATGTCTCTGACCAAACTGTCAGAAACCGACTCCATGACTAGAGAACGTCCGGCCCTCATGCCACCCTCATGGCATGAGTGTGGCATGAGTGTGGCATGAGGGCCTTTGGCATTTGCCAGAGAAAACCAAAATTGACAGGTCCGCCACTGGCGCCCCGTCCTCGTCACAGATATGAGCAGGTTAACACTGAGCATATGTGACAGATGTGAAAGAGTCTGAAGACACCGTGGTGAACGTTATGCTGCCTGCAACATCCTCCAGCATGACCGATTTGGTGGTGGGTCAGTGATGGTCTGGGGAGGCATATCCTTGGAGGGTCGCACAGACCTCCATGTCATAGCCAACGGTACTCTGACTGCTGTTAGGTACTGGGATGAAACCCTCAGAGCGACTGTCAGAGCTTATGCTGGTGCAGTGGGCTCTGGGTTCCTCCTGGTGCTGGACAGTGCCCGACCTCATGTGGCTGGAGTGTTAGACAGTGCCTGGATGACAAAGGCATTGATGCCATTGACTGGCCCACTCGTTCCTCTGACCTAAATCCATTTGAGCACCTATGGGACGTTATGTATCGGTGCATCCGATGCCACCAAGTACCACCACAGACTGTCCAGGAGCTCACTGATGCCCTGATCCAGGTGTGGGAGGAGATCCTCCTGGACACCATCCGCAGACTTATCAGGAGCATGTCCAGACGTTGTCGGGATTGCATACAATCACTCCGGTACAATACCAGTATTGATTAACTACGCAATATCTACACTTCAAACAGTCAATAATGTGAAATCAGCCATTCAGTCGGTCTCTTTATTATATTTTGCTTCTTATAGGTGCTTCCTTATTATATTGCTCTTTGTTTTTGGCATATTGCTTTGTATTGTTTTCTGTTGATGCTTCCTGTTTGCACTCCCTCTGCTGCTGTAGTGATGCAAAATATTTAGCGGCCCAAAACTCATAGTCAAGGGCGTGACAGGAATATGTGTGCATAGCCAGCGGGTGGGCTCCTGTCTGGGTATATTTTAGCAAGCCCTTAATTATTATTGAGCAGTGTGGTTACTCCACAACATTGTATCTCCCATCTTGTATCACCCCCTCAGAAGTAACGAACAGTCCCTTAACGTGGAAGGTTATCCACAGATTACCATAACAACTTCAGTACACACAACAAAATTCATGACTTTTCCAAAAACTTTTTGAAGGAATTTTACTAATAACTGTTCCAGGCCTGGTAAACAAGACTGTTGGATGACTTCTCCAGGTTTTCCCTGACCGTGGGAGCCCTGTGTCTGATTTATGTGAGTTAAACTTAAAATATGAGCCAATTTTATAAATGAAATTAAGACCATACATTTAAATTTAAGCACAAGTTGACAGTGTGTAAAATTAAAGATGCCAACACGTTTTAACCACCCAAGCAGCGAGTAAAAGTTGGCTAACATTACCTCTCGCACAAGCTGAAGGAAGTCATTGTAATCCAGACCACTGGCATCAAGTATAGCCTGCTCCTTCCTCTTTGATCGGCGGTCGAAAACATGTATCCTCCTGCGGACTCTTCCTCTCTCCATGGAGGCTGCGGGGAGACGCTGGGCCCCTCGGTTAGACATTTTGTTCAACTTTAATGCATTCCTTAGTCACTCCGCTAGCTCAGCTACGCGTCCACTAAAGTTGGCAGCCGACTTCCTTCGTGTTATTCAGGCGCTTTCGTTTCTCTGGTATGGAAACTGGTAAGGGACAGACCGACTACTTCCGCCCACTGAAGAAAGCAGCTCACGGCTGAGTTTTAAACGCGCCTCACTTTCGGTATCTTTTCACCGTGAATGCGGTTGTTTGGACAGGTTGTTGTCGTCAGGGCAGGACATGGCTGCTGCACCGGAGCCCCAGCCACCGACAATGAGTACTGAATCGCTTTAATGCCAGCTAGTTTAAACCAACCGGTTTGACTATGTCTGTGGTAGCTGTGTGCACGCGGGGCTGGGTTGTGGATGCACGCTCTCTCATTGATCAGGGCTATTCACGTTGCATCCGACTGACAGATAATAATCACAAGACACACGTGAAGTGTCGTTTTAAAAGGCAGTGTTTTCATATTTTAACAAGCCACTACAGTGAGAGAGCCAGTGCTGCTGTGGATGGAGGAAACACCGACACGTTGCAGAGAGCAGACAGACCATCAAAGGTAAACAGAGGGCTCCTACAAATGACTTTACAGCGACACCTGCTGGTACCAGGGCTGTACTCATTCTCCTATAGCTGCTGCTGGCTGTGTAATGACACGTGAAGTACACTTCTTAATGCAACACCAATTACCTTTTCACTGTCTGAGCTAAAACTACTAAAACATCTGCAATGATATCCAAAGATTTTAATTTGATGTGTTAAAAAAAAGAACATTTCAGCATGACACATCCAGTTCAACAGCACTACACTCTACAACCTCCAGAATTGAAAAGGTGAACCAACATCTTTATAGAGCACTTGCAACAAAAAGTGAACATCATGACCTTAATAAATAAGGATTTAATGCAGGACTGTAGTAAAGTGATTGAGAATGCATTATAAACTGGCAGCTGGAGTGTATAGGTGTCTTCAGAAATCAGAGTTGTATTTACCATCTATAAAACTACAATAATAAAAATCAGAGACCACTTTTTGGTTAATTTGGTTTCATCAGGATGTCTGCAGGTCCTTAAAAAGTCTTAAAATGTCTTGAATTTAGTTTTCTTAATATAATGCCTCAAAAAGTCTTAAAATAAGTTTTCCTCATATAAGGCCTTAAAAGTCTTAAAATGTCTTGAATTTAGTTTTCTTACTATAATGCCTCAAAAAGTCTTAAATTAGGTTTTCTCAATATAATGCCTTAAAAAGTCTTAAATTAGTTTTACTCATATAAGGCCCTAAAAAGTCCGAAAATGTCTTAAATTAAGTTTTCTTAATATAAGACCTTAAATTGTCTTAAATTAAGTTTTCCTGATAAAAGGCCTTAAAAAGTCTTAAAATGTATTATATTAAGTTTTCTTAGTATAAGGCCTTTAAATGTCTTAAAATAAGTTTTCCTCATATTAGGCCTTAAAAAGTCTAAAAATGTCTTGAATTAAGTTTTCCTAATAAAAGGCCTTAAAAAGTCTTAAATCCTATATTAAGTTTTCTTAATATCAGGGCCCGTATTCACAAAGATTCTCACAGTCCTCTCAGAGAGCTCCTAACTTAAGCTAAGATTCAGGAAGTTTCTGAGAGCAACTCTGAGCAAGGAGGGGACAGAAACTTTAATCTTAGTGAGGAGGTGTGGTTGACCCCGTTGCTAGGTATGACGCATCTTCTAAAAGCTGTGATTGGTTGTTACAAAAAGAAAAAAAATAACAACAAATGCGCTCCTAGTAATGAATGGACAGTGAAATCAACCATCATAAAACTTAGACTGTATTAAGAAATGTGTAATCGTGAAAATAATTTTATGTCATGATGATGAAACTCAGCAAAATTAAAACTGATTGTTACACAGCTTCAAAGTGTTTGAACGTACCTCATTCACATGCCGATTATTATATTGATTTGCTTATTGTTATGTTTACTCACCATGCTGGTTATTTTACTACTTAATCTATTTGATATTAATGGTGGACGCAGACTCAGCTGTCAGCAATTACTGTGATTGCTGGCCTCCTTGTAAAAAGAACGAGAAAGCCGAACTGGACAGAAGAGCAGTGCCTGCTGTTGGCACAGCTCATAGAGGAGAACAAATGAGTTTTAAGAGGGAAATTCGGTCCCGGGATCACGGCACAAGGGAAGAGGTAGACTTAGGAGCACATTGCCCGACACATCAATGCGTCGTTCCCTCTCCTTTTACGCACAAGCGATGAGTGTGAGCAGCGCTGGTATGTGCTGCAATCCAAAGCGGGCATTATTGCGTTACTACGCTGGGTGGGAAAAGTAAGCTCATCCCTGATGAGGTCAACCACAAACATTATCCCTGCACGATCAAGCCGACAGCGTCTTATTAAATCACTGTCGTTCATACGGAGAATATCTCTCCGTCCTCTCTGTCTTTCCGCCATCTTCTCTGTTTAAGACACTCTTAGGCTTCTTAAAAGTCCTCCTCCCTCCTCTTAACAGCTTGTCACCTTAGGAGCTCTCTTAAGGCCTAAGATGCTTTGTGAATAAGATTTTTCTTAGAATGACGTCACTAAGAGCTACTTTTAGTCTTAGGATTCTTTGTGAATATGGGCCCAGGCCTTTAAATGTCTTAAAATAAGTTTTCCTCATATAAGGCCTTAAAAAGTCTACGAAAAAGTCTTAACATTTTCTTAATATAAGGCCCTAAAAGTCTGAAAATATCTTAAACTAAGTATTCTTAATATAAGGCCTTCAAAAGTATATAATTGCTGTAAATTAAGTTTTGTTAATATAAGGCCTTAGAAAGTCTTAAATTGTCTTAAATTCAGATTCAATGGTCACATTACCATGAAAATTTCTCCAGCCTGACAAACCCAAAGACTGTTTAACAATCATTGGACAGACTGAAGAATTGCAATAATACATAGCAAAATGACAACAATGAGATTTTCTTTTCTTTTTACATTAAACACATTAAGCTTAAACTCACCCAATTGTTGTCATTTTCCCTTACTGTTCATTTTGAATTGACATCAGTGTGTTTACTTCAAAAGAGTACTTACACATGTGTGTCACACACACGCACACGTATATATAATATGTATTTTCCATTGCAGGTTTGGTCTTAAATTTAACTTGGTTATATCTGTAGACACCCTGTATATGTAATTGTATATATTTTTCTAAACACAATAAAATGTGTAAACAGTCGGACAATAGTGCAGTGGTCCAGAGCGCAAGAGGTGCTAGAATAAATATAGAATAATGAATTTAATCGGTTGCTTATATAGATCAGTCAGGTGGATATGACAGTACAGTGTTTACAGCATGCTTGGATTATGTTTTACAGACATTTAAATGTTTACAGTGTGTATTTGAACTAGGGCTGCCACTAACAATTATTTTCATTGTCGACTAATCTGTCGATTACTTCTTCGATTAGTCGACTAATCATTTCATCGAAAAATGTGTTAAAATGTTGAAAAATGTCGGTCTGTCTCGCCCAAACCCCAAAATTACGTCATCTGATGTCTTGTTTTGTACTCACGCCAAAGGGTTTTAGTTCACCGTCATGGGAGAGTGTGTAAAGCTGCCAATATCTGAATGTAAGAAGCTGCAGCAAGAGTATTTTGGGCTACTTTTATAGTACTTTTCTATGAAAAATGACTCAAACTGATTAGTCAACTACTAAAATAGTCACCGATTATTTTAATAGTCGATTAGTCATCGATTAGTCGACTAATCGTGGCAGCCCTAATTTGAACTTTAAACATACAATATAATATACAGGTGAAGTGGATGGTTGGTGTTTACATTGTTCCAGAGGGACTGTGTCTGATACTGGGGACTGGTGCTCATCATAGTGGCAGCCTGTGGGAAGAAACTGTTCCTAAGTGGTTGTTTTGGCATACAGTGTTCTGTAGTGTCTACCAGAGTGGAGAAGTTGGAACAGGTTCTGTTTAGGGTGTGATTGTTTGCAGTGATGTTGCCTGCCCATATCCTAACTGTGGAGGTGTATGTGTCCGGGATGGAGGGCAGGATGTCACCAGTGAGTGCAGTTCTGACTGTTGTAGTCTGTTCAGATTCAGATTCAGATTCAGATTCAGAATACTTCATTAATCCCCGGGGGGAAATTGTTTTTTGTTCCAATGCTCCGTGCAAAGTAGAAATAGAAATACATCATGAATGGAAACAAGAGATAAAGATGAAGATATAAATAAGATACTAAAATAGACAATGAAATAAATAAAATAAAATATTAAAGTAGACATTAAAATAAAATAAAATATTAAAGTAGACAATAAAATAAATAATAAAATAGTAAAGTAGACAATCTGAAATATATACAATATACAATGAAATGGTTGTAGCATTATAAATGAAATAAGAATGAGTAATTATATTGTGTGTTTTGTTTTATAAATAGCCAGTTTTGTTTGGTGGCTGGTCCACACAGTGATGGATGTCCAGAGGACAGACTGGATTATTGCTGCATGGAATTTCATCAGCAGCTCCTGAGGCAGGTTGAACTTCCTGAGCTGGCGCAGGATTATCTTCTGTGTCTTTTATCTTGATGGTGTTGATGTTAGATGGAGTGTAGTGTAGAGGAAGAAGATCAGTGGGGAGAGCACATATCCCTGAGGTGCGCCAGTGCTAATGGTCTGGGTGCTGGATGTAACACCACCTGCTGCCTCTGGTTCGTAAGGAAGCTTGTGATTCAGAGGCAGGTTGGAGCTCTGTGAGCTGGGTGAGTGAAGGATGTCTGGGATGATGATGTTGATTGCCGAGCTGATGTCCACAAACAGGATCCTTGCATACGTCCCTGGGGAGTTGAGATGCTGCAGGACTGTAATGCAGTCCCATGCATTCAGGTCCACTGACATGTTTGCATGGTAGGCGAACAGAGGGGGGTCCATTAGGAAGCCTGTGATGTCCTCCAGGTGGGCCAAAACCAGCCTCTTGAAGGAATTTATTATCAGAGACATCAGAGCAACAGGCCTGTAGTCCTTTAATCCTTTGATGGAGGGTTTC